AGGACTACATGTAACTAAATATTTTTAAAATGATTGCAGTCAACATTATGAAGCTTAATTAGCAAGTGTGACTATACCAGTACTTTAACAACATAAATGTAATGCGTCCTTAGTAGTACTACACATCTCGATTTTGAAGTTCTTGATCAGAACAGTCATAAAATTGAGAAAGGATCAGTTAAGTCATAAGATAAACAATAAATAAACAATCTGAACCAAAAAACATAGCTTGCTCTGGGTAGAGGAATGAGAAGAGAACCACAGAACCACATAAACAAACATGCAAACAAACACAACAAAGGCAATGGTCAACACTTCGGGAACAAGTCGAAGATGATCTGAGAGAAATTGGAGAATGATGTCCAAACTCGGATTCCGTGGCTATGCCCTTTGTTCTATTATCATTCTTTAAAGAGGATAAAAAAAATCGGTTATTAAAGTTGAATTCATCAGCAATATATGTAATGATCTTCATGTTTTCAAGTTAATTGTTATTCTATGATTTCAAAAATAACTCACGATTTTTCACTTTTGAGATTACAAATATTGATTTTCTGTAAGTTAATCCCGTTTATAAAATGTCTCCACGTAAATTTGAAACCTCACCTGTGTTTTTACATTTTTACTATGAAAACGTTTCTGAACTTAATCACTGTTCGCTGTCTTCACATTTAGTTGCTTTCATTATATTCAAGTATACTTTCGAGAGTTTACATACTAATTTATTTGTATTCTGTGCCAAGAAAATCCTGCCATAATGCAATGGTATCCAATGTTCAGTTTTATTCCTACGTCGAATTGAACTCAAAATGAAAAACCACAGAGTCTGTACACATCTCTTTCATATTTGGATGTTTTACTAGAGAAAGACATTGATGGCAAACTGACAACTAAACTTTATGATAAACCTGATTACTTCAACACATAATTCCCTTATTGGTATATGACTACATACCATTATCACCTGCATATGGAGCTTAAGTCTCCTAGTTGATTCGATATGCACGCGCATGTTCCACTTTCGAACATTTTCTAAAACGAGTCAGGCTATTGACAAATAAGTTGATAATAAAATTAAGGATGTTAGCGATTTCATTCTCGTTTAAAGTCAACATTTTGCAAATTCTATGGTCGATACAATTGCATTATTTGCGAATTCAATCTGTCATTATGTCGAATGTTGAATGACGTCTTTTCATACAGAAAGTTAAGCCATTATTTTCGCATTGAATTGTCTACGGATTTTTCCACTTACACGATCATGACAAGGCGCACACTGCGGGTGTAAACGCCTTTTTCAGAAATGATAATAATTATATTAAACATTGCTTTTTATTCATTTTTGACTGTCATTTTCGTTGGTAATGAATTGACAAAATACACTCTTAAGGAATTATTTCTTCATTTTCTGATAACAATTTTTACCCAAAACTTTTTCACATCACTTTATTGGTTTCCAATCAGTTTGAATAGTTCAGTGTACATATGTATCATAAAATGATTTTCAAAAATAATCCATTTTTGTCATTAGTACTTGCAAATTTCTGAAATTGAAAAAAAAGCTCCTTAGTACTTAAAATGTTATGATAGATTTACATGAAGCTATGAGAGCATAGTACATGAACAAAATATAGTTCGTCGCGTCATGCGCACCCGTGCAAATGATAATTATTTGCTAGATTCCTAATATGAAATCAACTGTGATCGGCTTTGGCCGATCACAAAAATTAACGGAATATAATTTCACTGACGTAACGAAGCACCAGTCAAAGACATAAACTTCACACCAATTGATATACATATACTTCCCTCCCCTTCAATGTTAATTAGTGAAAGTATAATTAAGTGCATTTTCTTACAGTAATTATAATTAATGAATGATAACATATTTAATTTCGATGATGATTGACAATTAAATCAAAATTTTTATACATTATTTGTCAATGTAATTCTTTTTATATTCATTATAAATACATGTTATTATAAATAATACTTGAAAATTATACTTTTAATGAAAATAAAATCAACACATATTTAGCAAAATAATCTAGTTTTGCATACTTTACATAGAGTCATTAAATGTGCTTAATTCTGCAACCAGAATTTCTATTACATTTTGTACAAGAGTTTGAAAGAAAGATTAGCCTATAATTTGTAAGAAGAAAAAATACCGATACTTGAACATACACTATCAATGCAAATTCAATAAAATCAAAATCTCTCTCTCTCTCTCTCTCTCTCTCTCTCTCTCTCTCTCTCTGAATTGCCACTTGAATCAGGGTTGAATCACTGACATAGAAATAAAAATAAATCCTGTTACAGTTCCTGTTGTTATTAGAGTACATAACTCCTTTTGTCCACATGTGCTGTTGTCCAGCGGAAAGAATCACTGAGAGAAACTTCTATGCACATAGACAAGGTATGTCAAATGTTATGTATCAAAACTTTTTTTGCAGTCTCAAATAACACAAAAAATTATATATTCGCGTAGATAAGTAATAATATATGCATGAAATACTAATAATTCTTAATTATAATGTAAGGTAAATAATCTTAAGCTTGTTTAAGGTGTGGGTTTTTTGAATGATTATCAAACCTCATATGAATGTACATGCTTAATAAATTCATGATAATTATATATAGCTTTTTGATTTGCAACTCTTAAATTTTGATCAGAATGGCAAAAAAAAATCTAAAAGAATAATGAACAACAAATTAATGACGTTTGATCACTCATTATGTCTTCAGTTGATACTTTAGGAATCTACATAATGAAGATTATTTTCTCATTTTTACTATGAATTCAAGAAACGGACATTAAAGTTGCATTGAAATAAAAAAGAAAAAAAAAGACTGTAAAAGGGTTTATGATTTTTATTGTAAAAAAAATCCTTCAGCCTTATTTTTCGCCTTTATTTTCAGACTTTATTTTGCGATGATGCAACGAAATAAATCTCGGATATTGTTATTGTAAGTAAAATTCTGTAATCGAGCGTGAATTAGTATTGTTTAAGTTTGTTACATACAGGATTATATATATATATATATATATATATATATATATATATATATATATATATATATATATATATATATATATATATATATATATATATATATATATATATATTGAAATTATATATAAATCCACAGTGCTCGGAAAATTATAGGTACAAATTAAAAAAAATGAAACACGAAAACGTTTAGTAAAGCTTTACTAAACGTTTTCGTGTTTCATTTTTTTAAATTTGTACCTATATATATATATATATATATATATATATATATATATATATATATATATATATATATATCTATATATCTATATATCTATATATATATATATATATATATATATATATATATATATATATATATATATTGATTATAAATAAATGTGTTTATGAACACTTGTCTTTCTCATTAACCTAGTAACAAAACGTATAGTGAACACGGTATATAAATAAATGTGTTTATGTAACAATTGTTTAAATATATAAATTAACTTGTATCTACTTCATTTTCTTTGAATAATTTAAAAATTATAATTAAATAAAAATAAATACTCAATTATTTTATGCTTTCCGTGCCGTACATTATGAATAACTTTAAAAAGTCAATTAGTAAAGTTTTTAAAAAATTTATTTTCAACTTCCTTAATTCAGAATTTCGAATGAAAGGTTCATTGCATATTAACTATTTTCATATACATTGTTCGAAAAAAATATATTTAAAATTTGCATATTTTCTCTTTTTTTTTTCTTTATCCTCTACAACATAATTTTTGTGACCTAACTGAAGTATGCATGCTTGTTTGATTTTATCAATATTCACAAGCTTACAATTGCGTGATCAAATTACGACGTACTCCCAAATTATTCCATGTAAGTCAGAACATTAAAACATCATTTACTCCCCTGTATAAATCAAAACAGCTGTTGTCTTTACTTCCCCTTTACCCTCTATTGATCCCTAATACTGACGTGGTGACTATTAAGACCCTGTACGAGTCTGCTTGGATTACATTTAATCACTTGATTGGATTAAAATCAAACACATGGTAGTCCAAGATTAAGGTCAAGTAAGTATTCATTTCTTAGAAATATCAAGGTCGTCCCTGTTTTCATCTCAAGTTTGGTTTTAGATTGTGGATGTTCTGCTTGATTTATTATAGTAAATTTTTGATATGTTAGTCTTTTTGCCTCACAATCAATAATGTTATAAATTCTTAAATCATTTCGAGTCAGTAGCAGACAATTTAATAATCTCTGAAATAGTTTACTTGAAATACATAATACATACGTAATTCGAAATGAAAACAACTGAACCGTGAACAAACTTTATATACATAGTATCATATATTTTTAACAGAATTATTCCTGGGAAATAAGTTGATGAAACAAGGGTATCAACAGTCTTGTTTAAAGTCGACAATTTGCAAAGTCTCTAGTCAATACAATGACCTTCTTTGGAAAAACAACCTGTTGTAAGGTCGATTTTTGACTGACATTTTTAAAACAAATTGTCAGGCCATTATTGTCAAGCCGAATTGTCTACGGATTACTCTGTTTACCAGATTGAGACAAAGCGATCACGGCAGGTGTGATCCAGTCGACGGGGGATGCTTTCTTCTTAATGGCACCTGATCTCACCTCAGATGTTTTCTTTCCAGAGGTCCGTGTTTGCTTTGCTCTCTATTTATTTTTTTTTTATTTGACATTTAAGCATGAATATTGTTCTTTGTATTTACAATACATTATTACAATTGATAGTCCAAATTCTTATGACAATTAACTGGGGAAAACTGTCTGTTGCCTTTAAGCTGCTCAAATGAATACTGTATTACAGGGGATGCGTACTCCTCCTAGGCACCTGATCCCACCTCTAGGATTTCCATTGGTCCGTGTTCTATGCCCTGTTTGGAGATTTGTATTGTTTATAAATGTTTTTAAGATCGAACACTGTTCGTTGTCTTCACCTTTTTTCATTTTTCTTTTAGAATGAAAAGACAGTGGCGATCAAGCACAGGATGCCTTATCTTGACTTTTATCGGAGTACTCACGTGGGTATTCTCTACCAGAGTTTTCATTTTGAAAGTGTCACAGAAATATGTTCAGAAATCTGGATTGACAAACTCACAAGCTAGACATTATTTGTTACACCCACAAGGGACGCTGAGTAATAAAGAAAATAGGGATAGGCGCTATTCACAAGTGAAAGAGGATAAGGTAGTTTATGAAATTCTTCACAAAGAAAGGGGATTCTTTGTTGACATTGGTGCACACGATGGCCAGTTTTTATCCAACACACTTTGGCTAGAGAGACGACACAGTTGGACTGGTCTCCTGATAGAAGCAAACCCTGAACTCTGTCACAAAATAGATAAATTAAAAAGAAATGCATGGAGATTATGTGCTTGTTTATCAGGTACTCAAAGGGACGTCTCATTCATCACAGGAGGTGGTGTAGGTGGCATTGCAAGCCACATTGATCAGCATCACATGAAAATGTTAGAACAGAAAAACAAAATAACTGTACCTTGCTTCAATTTGGAGCAGATTTTAAACATTATAGGAGTCTATCATATTGATTTTTATTCACTAGACATTAAAGGGGCAGAAATACCTGTCCTTGAATCCATGAAATCAGGACTCAAGTCAGGTGTCTTCACAGTTGATGTTTGGGCCATTGAATATAGAGTGTGGGATGGTCAAAAGATAGCGGTTGAGAAATCAAAGAAGAATTTGAAAAACTTAAGGGACTATTTCAAACACATTGGGGGATATTTTGAACATTCACAACTATCTACAAATGGTAATAAAAAAGATGGATATGCACTTGATGTAGTGTTTGTTCGTATTACGACGTGGTGTAAAACGAGAGAAAGTTTCCCAAACGGGACAAACTGCCCAGGAAAGGAGCAAGTCTACCACATCAACGAATATCTTAAAGCTCCTCATCCTTACCGAAAAGTAGAGAATGCAGACCAGTTGTATTCACAAGCCAAGCAAGACCAAGTTGTTTATGAAATTGTTAAAAAAGATGGAGGATTTTTCGTTGACATTGGCGCTCACGACGGACAATTCTTATCCAATACATTATGGTTGGAACGAAAACACAACTGGACGGGACTTCTTATTGAAGCCAATCCAGATCTCTGTCAAAGAATAGATCAGATCAGACGCCATTCCTGGAGAATGTGTGCATGTCTATCTAATACACAGAAAAAGGTCTCATTCATTAAAGGGGATACCGTGGGTGGAGTTGAACAACACATTGACCAACATCATATCAAGATGTTGAACAAACAAAATAAAGTAGTTGTTCCCTGTTTTAGTTTGGAAGAAGCGTTGAATACAATTAAAATCTCCCATATTGATTTCTATTCACTGGATGTTGAAGGCGCGGAGTTGGCGATACTGGAATCGCTTAAGGGTGGACTCAAATCAAAGCGTTTTATAGTAGACGTGTGGACGATTGAATACAGAGTCTGGGACGGCCGAAGAGTGGTTGTGGATAAGTCGTTAGAAAATCTAAATGCATTAAGAAAATATTTCCAAGATATCGGTGGTTACAATGAACATTCCCAGCTATCGAACGATGGTAATTTTAAAGATGGGCATGCCCTAGATGTAGTTTTTGTACGTAATGAGATGTGGTGTAAATCCCACGACAAATTACCAAATGGTGCATCATGTTCAAAATATGGCTGATCTTTGGTGTTTGGAAAGAGAGATCGTCCGTAATTAAACATATTTTGAAGATGTGATGCTCTACGTGCACGTATAGTTTGTATAGATCTACATGTTTATACATATACATTAGAAAATACCTTGATTATTCAAATTGACACGGTTTAGATTCTTCTGGATGACCACAAATTAAGCTTCATTTTGTGAAAGGAAGATCCAAACCCGAAAATTGATAATTATACATGTAAATAATAATGAAATTTTGATGGAATCATTTAAAAAATCTTCTAAAGAACCATGGGGTCAGAAAAGATAAAAATTTCTGACACAAAGTATATGTAAATATAAAATTGCTCAAATCATGGCCCCGAGATAGGGCGAGGTCACAATAAGGAATCAACTGTTACATGAGTTTGTATTTGGAAAATGTATTAAAATCTTATTAAGAACAACAGGTCATGTTCAATGATATTGACGTAAAAGCTTCCCTAGAGTAGATTCATTTTCTTTTTTAATCCAAGGCCACTGTTGGTAAGGTGGAATCAAATTAGGGGTATCAGTTTTATGGGAATATATGGGAATGTATTGGACTTTCATACTTCACATATGTAATCCTTGTAACAAGACTTTTCTTTAGGTACCAACAATTTTGACCCTTTGATCTTGGAGTTTGACCTACTTTTGGAAAACTTAAACCTTGGTCATAATTTTTGAACGATTGGTGCTTCGGCTTTTTTCTTGGGAGAAGGCCTTTCCTTGGGTACAATTAATTTTTGGCCATTTGACTTTGACCTTGATGTTTGACATACTTTTGAAAAAACTTTAACTTTTTCCATATCTATTCAATTGTTGCTGCTAGGGATTTCATATTTCACAGGTTTATTCCTCAAGACAAGGCCTTACTTTGGGTACCAACATATTTGATTTGCATTTTAGAAAGCTTAACCTTTGCTATAAGTTGCCTTACGGGGGCATCAGTGTTTCACAAACACATCTTGTTTTTCCTTGTGACAAGATCTTCCTTTGGGTACCAGCATTTTTCATTTCTTGACTTTAACCTTGATGTTTGGCTTACATTTGAGAATCTTTAACCTTTGCCATGAGCTGACAAACGGAGGCACCAATGTTTATCAATAACATCTTGTTTGTAACTGAAGAGAAAATAAGCAATATTTGGGGTATATTTGTAGGAAATGCAGGGTGCAGACCAACTTAAAATATGGTTGAATGCCTGACTGGACTTTATATTTCTAATGTTCACGGCATATTCCTTAGTTGGCACATTTGATTTATAAGGATTGGACGAGATGAATTGGAATTATTATCTTCCGACAAATGTGGTGGCTTGCTGAGTAACATTCTAACATACTGTCACATGAACCTCGACGCTGCATTCAAGTGAGTCATCTAGAAATTTCTCTCTATTATATAGAAAATCTCCCTGACAAGTGGTACTGTCACATGAACCTCGACGCTGCATTCAAGTGAGTCATCTAGAAATTTCTCTCTATCATATAGAAAATCTCCCTGACAAGTGGTACTGTCACATGAACCTCGACGCTGCATTCAAGTGAGTCATCTAGAAATTTCTCTCTATCATATAGAAAATCTCCCTGACAAGTGGTACTGTCACATGAACCTCGACGCTGCATTCAAGTGAGTCATCTAGAAATTTCTCTCTATCATATAGAAAATCTCCCTGAAAAGTGGTACTGTCACATGAACCTCGACGCTGCATTCAAGTGAGTCATCTAAAAATTTCTCTCTTTCATATAGAAAATCTCCCTGAAAAGTGGTACTGTCACATGAACCCCGACGCTGCATTCAAGTGAGTCATCTAGAAATTTCTCTCCATCATATAGAAAATCTCCCTGACAAGTGGTACTGTCACATGAACCCTGACGCTGCATTCAAGTGAGTCATCTAGAAATTTCTCTCTATCATATAGAAAATCTCCCTGACAAGTGGTACTGTCACATGAACCTCGACGCTGCATTCAAGTGAGTCATCTAGAAATTTCTCTCTATCATATAGAAAATCTCCCTGACAAGTGGTACTGTCACATAAACCTCGACGCTGCATTCAAGTGAGTCATCTAAAAATTTCTCTCTATCATATAGAAAATCTCACTGACAAGTGGTACTGTCACATGAACCCCGACACTGTGTTCAATTGAGTCATCTAGGAATTCCTCTCTATCATATAAAATCTCCCTGACAAGTGGTACTGTCACATGAACCCCGACACTGCATTCAAGTAAGTCATCTAGGAATTCCTCTGTATCATATAGAAAATCTCCCTGACATGTGTACTGTCACATGAAGCCCGACACTGCATTCAAGTAAGTCATCTAGGAATTCCTCTCTATCATATAAAATCTCCTTGTCCTGTGGTACTGTCACATGAACCCCGATGCTGCTTTCAAGTAAGTTATCTACAAAACCCTTTGTATCTTACAAAATCCATTTTTGCTAGTGGTACTGCTATATAAACTCTGATGCCACATACAGATTGGTTATCTAGGAATTCCTCTGTATTTAACAAACATTGAATAAAAAATAATCTATGACTTTGTCTCCTCAAAAAACTAGAGTCATTAAGAAGTATTTTAAGTACTTTTATTGGCAGTGTTTTATCTTCGATGACAACATTTCTTTCTCCATTGGTAAGTCTGACATTTAACATATAAAACCTAATGCAATAAAACTTGTCTACTTTGTACACCATTGCACGTAAAGCATTGAGCAATCCCTGATTCTCTAACATAGTATCATGATTTTAATTATAATCAGCATTCTGTTTTTGAAATATTCACATCAACTATACTACATACATAATCATAATTTTACATATTTACACAATACAAAATTGAACTTTCACAGTTACTTCCCTTCTTAGAACTCTTTTGGAATTATCTAACAGGAAATGAAACATTTGTTTCTTTTTCCTTTTTTCTAGTCTTCCATTAGGAATAGTTCACTCACAGTATCCCATCTTTGGTCACTTTTTCTAATTTATGGTCGAGAGGTTTCTTTTGCATCCGATATCTCTTATGACAAGACTTGGCCTTGTAGACTTTAAATGATGAAAGTTAAAATAAAAATAAGTCAGTCCGCGTAGCAAAAAAAAGAAAATTTTCTGAGGACCCGTTTGGGGGAGGGGGTAGAAAATGGACATAATCCTCCCCTTCTGTCCCCCTTTTCAGGAGTTTATATTAACATAAACATTTTGTCAAAAACATTTCACTGAATTTAGCTTTGTCTGTGTACAAGTCTATAAACCATGCTCAGAAATTTTAATAGTTGTCTCTATGCAACCTTTTTTTTCCTAAGAAGAGTTCTGCAAAGGGAAGTAATTTTAAAATTACAGCAGTTTAAACACATCAATAATTCTCAATTGTCAATCATTTAAATCTCTTAAACAACAAAAGCTAACAAACTACTATATAACAAGTCTATAAACATATGAAATAGGCAACAAAACAGAGTCACTTTCATTAATATTTAAATTACTAACAAACATAAGAAAGACTTGAAAAAATAAAACATCATGCTGAGGATTCTACTTAGCAAATTTTTATTTATATGAAAGTTCCATGCATTTTATAATAGTATTTATTTGAGATCTTGAAGAAAAAGAAAAATACCAGTTTTAAAACTAATAAATCTGTCTCCTTAAAGAAAGGGCACAAATAATCATTCACAAATATAGACTCTATGGCTACATATCAGCATGTTTGTACAATAAGCACCTACAATTTCTATATATACAAGGTTAATAGCTGCATAAATATCACAGTCAATCGTCATGGAGACCAGAACCATGGCAACAAAATGGTACACAGATGGCTTGAGCAAGTAAATACACCAAATGCCGAAATTCACAGCACTACCTTGAATGAAAAGTTTTTCATCATCCCAAACTGCTTTAAATGATGGGGAAAAAACACTATGTTGGAAAAAGGTGAGCAAAGAGAAGATTAGTGCATAATCCAAAAGATATGTAAACTCCTTGTTCACTTGTCTAAGATTGTAATTATTTTTTTAACATTTTCAGTGAAATCATTGCATTTTTTTTTCTGAAATCTTTAAAACAATACGAGGCACAATTTTCCATGGCCAAAGGTAAAATATTTGAAAAAAATATTGGAATGCCACCAATTCTGAAATAAACTTAAAATCACTGATGATTTATAAGTATACTGAAACAATTGTTAGTCATTACTGTTGAAGAAATGGTGATATGATGTAATTACAGAGCTGGGAGTGGGTCTGTGATATGGAGGCTAATCTATCATCATAAATTCTTAAGGCACAGAAGATGGGCTCCTCATCACCTGGTCCATTAAACAGGAAATACTGTATTTTCATGAAGTAAAATTTCTCCAGGACTTTTTTTTTCATGAGTCAACTTTTACCCTTACAGATACAAAACATTCACTGTAAATCGTTCAGTAAATTATAAATTACAATTATACTGGCCAAGTATTTCACCATGTTCACTGTAACCATCCTGTAAATCATAAATTAGAATTATACTGGCCAAGTATTTCACTGTAACCATCCCGTAAATTATAAATTAGAATGATACTGGCCGTGTATAAAGTGCCCAATTATACTAATCCAGTACATTAATCTGGTTTTACACTACTCCAGTTATATTCCATGTACTGTGCACTCCAATATTCATACTACATATGCCCAGTGAATTGTATTTTTGTTCAGTACTAGTCCAGTATTTACTGTAAATAAGTCCAGTATTATTGGAAATAGTCCAGTATTTACTGTACATGTATATAAGTTCAGTATTTTTGTACATAGTCCATTATTTACAGTACACAAGTCCAGTATTACTGTAAATAGTCCAGTATTAGTTATGTCTCATGCAATGAAGTAACTTAAGTGGTAGCCAAAATCAAAAATCCAATACTTTGTTGACAACGTCCCGAAGTTGTGTCCCTTTTTGCACATCCTGTTTGGCTAGAACACGTCGGAACATGATTGGACAGTCCAGTGATACGCATGGCTGATTCTCATCCTGAGCCCCCATACAAGTATTACACACCTACAAAGAAAATTAGATATTTTCTAGAATTTTATCAATTTTAATCAAAAAATTTCCTATTTATTAATCATATTCTCAACAAGACCAAATTTGCTTCCCATACTAGCCTTTTCTAAATTATTATACATTTAACTTTTGCCTTGCTGTCATAACCACACAAATACATTAATATATCTGAAAACAAGAGAACAGATCATAGTTGTGCAATGTTTGCAAGATGGCCTTGAGTTAATAAACTAGCAAATGAATGACCTGGAATTTGTCACTTAAGTCGATCAACTATAGTTTTAGTGGCTTAATCTGTCAAGGGTTTGTGGAGAGCATAGCAGACTATGAAGTCTTGGTTTCCAAACATGTGAACACAGGGATCCTACTTTATGAAGGTTTGGGATATAAAATTTCCTACAATAACTAATACACTTTAAATCATTCTTTGAATCAAACAGCTATGTACCTTCACCAGGTCAGAGTAAATCTTCTCCCATTTCCTGATCCTATCACAGAGGGTGACACAAACATTCTGAGGATCCTTAATACAGATGTTACAGATTGCCTGATTGGTCTGTCTGTCACAAACCGGACAATTGGTGGCTGAGAAGTACTGAGAAATAGTTCCTTTTTTCTGGTCAGGCGCAAGGAGAGAAGAGGGCACAACTCGCACAACTTTTGGCATATCATTATACCTAGAGAGAAAGAAACAGAACCTACATTAATAGTGCTATCAATGATTGAAACTCTTGGCTATCAATTATTAACTTCAATGTACAATAACAGTTTATGCACTGTAAATGTACATGTACTTATATTTAGCCTTGATAATATTTTAGTATCTTTTGCACCAATTCTCGTCTGCTATAAATTAAAATAGCTGCATACTAATATATGATAAAAACAAATACATAGAGAAGCTTGGCTGAATATGAGCTAATTCATGATTATGCTAATCAAGTGACGTTGAAGAGTACACTGAATTTTGAGCATGCTAATATGTATGTATAAAGTATTTAACATTACTGAATGTTTATAGTATTTTACGTTAGTGATATCGTACCAGGAGAACACGTCCACCCCCAGAAGGGAGAAGAGGCGATCTAGTGGAGGCAGTATCTGTTTTGTGATGTAATATGTGGCATTTAGTCTCAGGGACGGGTCAGCTAGGACCTCATGTGGCTGCCGAACCAACTGTATCAATGGAAGTCCAGGACTGCCGTAAATAATCACGTACGGAACTCGCTCCCCAGTACGGGGCTCAGCTTGCCTGTCATGCCTCAGTAACTTCCTTCAATATTAACAAAATCTCATGTAAACAAAGATAAAATTACATATTTAAATGTTATTAGAAAATTACATGTATTACTGCATTTCTTTTATTATAACTCAATAGGGTCAAAGGGAGAAAAATAAATTGAAAGTTTCTATTTGATGATTATATTTTTGCAGATGCTAGTCATAAAAAACACTGGATCTGAAATTTAACACAATTGCTTCGTAAATTTTATATCATAGAGAGATTTCAGATTTACTTTGCTATCTCCAGGGCAGGGACACACGCTCCAGGCTTATAACCCTTCATTCCTCGGTACTCCTTCGCAAATATACAGTCCTGCATGGTAACTTTTCCTTCCATGAATTTTTGACACTGACGTAACACATACTCCTTTACTTTAGATACATCCTTACAGCCAAAGAGAATCTTAATAGAACGCTCCAGAATCTAAAATAAAATGATATATATACTAAATTATAACTTCAGCAGGTATCATCAATTTGTAAGTAAAATCATGAATGTCCATTTGATACTCGCTATGTTACCTTGGATACCGCTGCACACGAGTCTCGTCTGACCGTCTCTATCCCTTTGGCATCAAACACGGGTTCTTTCTGGTCCACCGTCTCAAAACTGTAACCCACATATCGCTTCTTAGTTTGTAAGACACAGGGATAATATACCTGATGGTAGAGAATAGACATTGTAGATCTGTAAAACTGACAAAGGAATAAACCTGATGGCACAGAATATACATTGTAGATCTGTAAAACTGACAAAGGAATAAACCTAATGGCACAGAATATACATTGTAGATCTGTAAAACTGACAAAGGAATAAACCTGATGGCACAGAATATACATTGTAGATCTGTAAAACTGACAAAGGAATAAACCTGATGGCACAGAATATACATTGTAGATCTGTAAAACTGACAAAGGAATAAACCTGATGGTAGAGAATAGACATTGTAGATCTGTAACACTGACAAAGGAATAAACTTGATGGCACAGAATATACATTGTAGATCTGTAAAACTGACAAAGGAATAAACCTGATGGTAGAGAATAGACATTGTAGATCTGTAAAACTGACAAAGGAATAAACTTGATGGCACAGAATATACATTGTAGATCTGTAAAACTGATAAAGGTCAAACAAAACAAGGTTCAGCTTCAGTTAAAAAAAAAAGGAGTTATGGCAGATTGCTTGGGTCAGTCAGAATTACTTCTGTACATCTTATCATGCTTATAAATATTACTTTGATGCTCCTAATGACAATAAATGATTTCTTTGTAAGCTGATATTAGCCATAAGCAGGTTAATTATAAACATGTTTACTTCACAGGGACAAACATTCAATAAACTGAAAGGTTTTAATGCAACAGATTGACATGACTAGTACCTTTTCAAACTTCAGTTTGATTGGCTTTGGATTCATAGCTGTCACAGCGTCACAGATTTCATGTCCGATGTTAAAGGCTTCCTCTTTGCTCTTACCCTTCATCTCAATAAACATACTGTAACACAGAAATTAAAGTTAATGAAACACATGGAAAATAATCAAAGTACATGCATCTCAATAAACATACTGTAACGCAGAAATTAAAGTTAATGAAACACATGGAAAATAATCAAAGCACATGTAACTTCACAAAATATCACAACTGCAAGAATACAGTAAATTAATAGATGTAAATCTCTTTAAGATTAACCATGCATGTATTTTTATACCAGTCAAGTCTGATCTTGAATTTGGAGCATTACCCATATTTTCTTCCAAATAATGACAAACAACCTCCACCATATCTGTATGGAATATGCATCATTCCCATCTCATAAAACACACATGAATAGATGACTCATCCCCCCCCCCCCCCCCCCCCCCCCAGTGATTCATTTTGGTCTGCGTCCTGCGTAAATTACGCACAAATTTTGCTCAGGACTCATTATTTCAATAAATGTGCATCCCAATGGATGCATAAAATTTATAATTTAACAGGTATAAGATTGCCAACAACAGGTCAGATTTTACAATTCACTGTTAAATTGTAGTTATAACAAGCAATTATCAGAAAATATTTGAAAGTTAGATAGCATAGTTCGATTATGTCTACTGTGGAATTTTTCTGAAGCGTATTTATATACTATATAGCTTTGTAAAGCTGTGACCTGTATCATTTTAATATTTTCCTTAGAAGTTAAGAAGTATAAAATTTGATCATTTTTCTTTCTGACAATTTTTCATTTAAAAAAAAAAAAAAAAAAAAAAACTTTCTTTACTTCATTCTGATTCTGTGCATTTTATGACTGATACCATAATAAATGTGCGAGATTGTATTTACGATCTAAAAATAGAACCAAGGTGCACAGTTGACAATATTATTTCATGTATTCTTACTTCTAATTGATAGTAAAAGTATAAACCACTCACAGCTTCAATAAAACATGTGCACTTTTATGCAATACCCTTTCATATTTATTTCACCAGGATTTCCTCTGTAATATCTAATGAAAAAAAAAAACAAAAACAAAAAAAAAAAAAAAAAAAAAAAAAAAACAGTACCCTTGGATTTGGACACATTGATTTTGGCATGGGACTCATTGTTGTCATTAAGAGGGGTCCTTTGGACCCATGATAACCATTTTCAAAATGAATCACTGCCCCCCCCCCCACCCCCCCCCCCCCATTTGTTACACGATATCTACCTGTCTGTATCACCGTAGAGGACTTGTGTCCCCCCTCCCTCCCTCTCCCCAACCTCTGTTATATGATATCTATCTGTCTACATCTGTTATATGATATTACCTGTCTGTATCACCATAGACAACTCTTGCCCCCCACTCCGGCCTATCCTCCACCAGTCTGATCGCTCGTTCCAAGGTCTCCCGTGCCTTCCTTACAATGCTGTCTCCCACCTTTGTATATAAATACAGATTCAATGTTTACATGAATTTTGTAATTTCATGAGAAAACAATGTTTTTCACTGTTTAATGTCTGTCTCCAGAAAAGCTACAGAATTTTAGTTCCATCAGGCATGAAGTACAAGCACTTATATATATCCACACAAAAACCATCCATGACAAAGCATCTTTCAATTTTAATCATTTTATTACTACTGTATTAAGAGAATTCTAATTCTATTTCAACTTAATTATCCATTTCTATCTTTACCTGTGTGCTACAATTTATGTACAATTTATATTCATATAAACTTCACTTCCAATCATACTCACTAATGCACAGATATGTAATATGCACAATGCATTCAAACACTTAATGTAATTTACCTCAATACATGGCATTCTCCCTGAGAAGTTAGCCCCTGTGTAACCGTAAGTAACGTTGGCGATAAGTTTAAGTCCCATTTGTCGAGCATCAAGGAGGCGATACAAGCCTTTATCATCTTTGTGTTCTTTCATCGATTTCTTAACCATAATACGAGTGTTCAGAATTTCTTCAACCATTCTATCCAAAGAAAAAGCACAGAAACTTAACAGTATAACTTCTTTTCTCAGAAAATGATATGAGAAAAAGAAAATTTGTGTGTATGACATGGGAATTATGTGGTTACTTAAAGATCTAAAGATCTACATTATGTTCCTCATCACACAATTACGGGACAGAATATGCTTTGTTCCATGACCAAAAATTAAAATAGCTGAAAAGTTATGTCCCTTGACAAAATATTACAGGGAATAGTTATATCCCTTGTCATATTTCAGGAAGTGAATGGAGGTATGACCCTGATACAACATTACAGGCCGGTGATCTTACTTGGAGATGATTCCTTTTCTGACGTGTTCCTTTACAAACACCACTCCATTGGGAGACACAGTAACATCATTCTTTATCCTCTGAAAGAGTCATTAGCGTACAATTAAATCAGAAACATTTACTTGGTCTCATATAAAGTATTTCAGAAGATGCATTCATGAAAAAAAAAGTGTTAAGGCAAACGAACGTACATTAAGGGTTTTAGGAGAGATTCTAAGATGAGTGCATCCAAATTCTATTGGGCCCTCACTACAACAAAAAATAAACACAAATGTTAAATCATATCAGAGGACATTAAAGCTAGTTTGTCTGCTGTACAGTACTGTGTAAAAGTTAGCTACCTTCTGACCTGTCTCCAGGAAATCCAGTCTCTCTACAGATACACTGTAGTTGTAGTACAGTACTGTGTAAAAGTTAGCTACTTACTGAGCTATCTCCAGGAAGTCTAGTCTCCCCACACAAGTGGAGAAGCAGTAGTTGTAGGCAATCATAATGGAGGGGTACAAGGACTGGAAGTCAAGGACAACCACAGGGTCAGCATAGAACCGAGACTCGGGCTCCAAGGTCAGGGGGATACACTCAGGGGCCCTCATACGGGCTCTCTGCTGAACACTGGGGGAGGCCGGAATAAAATTCATAGGTTTGGCCAACCTCAACATCATAGACTCCACACGATACTGAAAATTAAAATGCGAATGGTTTACACTAACAGATTAACATGTCAGTGTGGCTATTCCTTTATCTACTGATTAAACTAACAACATTATCAAACAAACCTGTGAGCCTCTGGAGAGAACATGATAAAACTCGATCCCAAAAACTCTAGCAAACTCACTCGTCCTTCCTATCAAGTCCAGCTGGTCTATGATTTTTAAGTTACTCTGTACTCGAATTAAGTAGTACCTGATGAAGCGCCACCTACAGGAGAAACCAAAGGAGTGAAAAACGATACTTATATGACTCATCCTAAATATTGCTCATAGGTATATCCTGGAAACAGTTGTCTAATCACTTGTTAGGAATGCATTCAACAGTTTATATTTATAGGTAATGAAATTCTTAAAATCAGCTTAATTCAAATAATCATTTACATGTATGTAGCTCCTTAATAGACTATACAATTTAGTCAAGGTAAAGTACAATTTAATCTATATTCCATGTTTTACATGCTGAAATTATACAGTGTATCTTGAAATTAGGCAGTGTATCAAATTCAGTAGGGTTGAAATCTTTAGAATTTACCTGTAGAGGTGAGTTCTATGTTTGAACCAGGAATTGAGAGTCTGAAAGCTGTAATGAGGGACTCTCTTGTGAATAACATGGTGGGCTATATTCTCAAATGTGTAAATGTTCAAGGTCACCTGCAATACACAGAACATCAAGTATAAGAAATGTAAACTTGTGCAGAATCAACTTTTCAGCAATGTCAAAATCTGAAATATAAAATATAAGCTTTTCTCTGAGTTTACATATTAACTGGGCAAAAATTCATATACATGTATTCAGGAATCAGCAGCACTCATAAATCTTTCAAAATCCTCAGTCTGACAGTAAATATTTGAAATTACCCCCTTTCCAATTCAACCAGCCACTCCAGTATATTTCTACTGAAAGAAGCTCAAGATCAGAGGCTTTACAGTGTATTTTATATATTGAGGATGACATTCCACATGCAAACCTCATGTCTTAGGATCCTCCAAAGATTAAGGATCACACGTCCTGCGAGGTGGATCTCAGAGGAGTGGTCCGCCCCCCACTCATCGCTCTCAGCCTTAAAACTACTCTTCCTCTTCTCATCTAAACAAATCAATTTTTTAATGCATAAATTTAATAGCTAACTTTCTTATATGCCTTAAGAAAAAATATTTCCACTTTTGTAAAATTTAAATTCTTTTATATGTCATATTCAATATCAAAGTGGCCTGATATAAATTCAGGATTGTAATCAAGATACTGTATGTGTACGTAAATTGGTGTATTGAAAATTTAGTGCAATCACTGGGTATTGAGTTGTTGGCACATTCATGAATTAGCGCTGCACACTAACGCGTTGTATATTGTACTAATGATTTTTTTTAGCAGTATTCATGAATTAGAGCATCGTTGTCCGCACCAAAGCCGCTAAAATATGATGCCCGCTTTTATAAGTATACATACAGTACATAGCAGGTATAAACATTCAAATCCGCTGTTTCTATCAGTTTATGAATGTTTTCACTTACTGCTGATGATAAAATAACATTGATCTTCTTTATATACAAGGCATACTGGTGCTTTGAGCATAAGGAGATTTGACATTTCATTCATTCATTCATTCAAAATTCTAGAACTCAAGGTAACAGATGATATTTGATCTAATAATTACCTGGTATCCTAGACATTTGGGCACACAGGTTAACACTTAGATGTGAAGCTCGCTGCAATAGGTAACCCCAAGAAAACTTCTGAATCTCAAACCCGACCAGAATATCTGGGTCCCACCTGTCACAATATAAAAAAATTCATTTATATCATTCTTTTTGTATACTTACATGTACTTTACATCCATTGCTGATTCATATTCTTCTTTTATATCAAGACTAGGAAGAACTTGCACATTTACACTTCCAGTAATGATAGATTCCAAATATAATTTTCTAAAAATACTATCGATTATAAAATTTGTAAGAGCTTACACAATAATTGATCTTTAGCACTACAGAACAACTTTTTAAAACAGTTATATTAATGTGAAAAGAAACTTGAATTCTCACTTGGAGAACAGCTTGAGAATTTCTTGAAACAGTTCCTCCTCATTTTCCACATAAGTGACTTCTAAGTCTTCATTCACGCCTGATTTCTGCAGCACAGTATCTTCTATATCAGATGCCTTAGGCACCTTACAAACTGGTCTGGGGGAGGGGCTTCGTGACCTTGACCTCTTCCCTTTTTGTGATGGAGCAGGGTGACTTGATGTAGAGGGTTGTGGGGAGGGGGATCGCTGGTAAGAGGTTGAAGGTTGATCGGAGGATCTGACCTTTGACCCTGTGTCATGTGACATGGATGGCTGTGGAGATGTGGGTTGGGTGGTGGTTGATTTGTTTTTCAAGGCTTCCTGGCTTTCTTTGGACTTCCTGTCCACAAGTATGACCCCTGTGATGTCACATTTTTTGTCCTCTGCGGACACATCATTAAGAATGTTGTAGAAGACAGCGACAATGGGGTCGATTTCAGGGTCAGGCATCAAGTCCCGTCGTGTCTCGGCATGTAGCTCCAGACTCAACACAGTGAGGTTCTGTACCTGAGGAAATATAGGATATAGTCAGCATCCATTAATGTCAGACCTTTTATTACGCACTATCAGCCATAAAAAGCCATATTTCCAAACAATATTCAAATCGTGGAATTCAGAATCTCACCATAAAATATAATAGATTATTCAAATCAATGTGAAACTTGGAATTCTTGTCCACAATAACATGTACAAATTAAGATTACTTCAAAAATATTAAAATTCTCTACTCTCTCTGAACCTGAAACTTATGTATACTAGTTTACATTTACTCTCTGCTGCTCCAATTTAATTTAAAGTAAAACTGCATCAGTATGAGCCAAATATTCCAAACCTATAAAGATATAAAAGTCGTGTTAAAATTCTTTCATTTATTGTAAACTCAGTACTCACCTCATGAAGTGCCTTGGCATCCTGCAGATTGTGCTGACTGACTTTGAAACCAAATGAATTCTTCGGGGTGGGGCCGTCGATTTGAGACACATTTCCTTTAGAATTTGTGGGGGTTGCCATCTCCTGAGGAAGACCCAGAAATTCTAAATTTTTAACTTCGTAGCACATAATTCGTTCTCTGCTTTTACCATATGGTTAAGATAAACAAAGGACAAGATAGGGTAAAACTCCTTTTTGGCCCCTGGTTTGGGGTGTCTTTTAGAATGATGCAACAGTTTATCAATAGAAACCTGTTGTCACCCCTACCACAAAATGAGTATTAGTTCTAAGTTATGGGATCCACAGAGATCACAGGAAGGTCACAAAAAATGTCCATTTCCAAATTTTCTCATTTTTATGCAAATTTTCATCAATTTTACAGCACATTTTGTTTCAGAAAACATAGAGCACAAGCTTGCCTATCTACCAAATTTATATATTTCATACAATAGTATCAGATGCATCTTATACATAAAAATCTCAGATAGGCAAGCTTGTACTCTCTGTTTCCCGAAGTGAAAAGCATCCCAAATTTTACGAAAATCGATCAGAATTGAGGAAATTTGAGAAAATGTCCTACTTTTGCACCCTCTAGTGGCCTCCATGTAAGTTTTGAATCAAAATTAGTGCTGGTTATAAAACAAGCATCATTCTAAGTTCTAAACCACAAACTATCACAATTTTAACTGTGTTCTGATTTTTACATCATATAAGGGGCCAGATTCGGCCATTGCCATACCTTGTCCTTTCTGTAAACAAGTTTTTTTAAGTTTTGACTTTTTAAGTAATAAACAGGTGTTTGCTCAATTCACCATTTAACCTAGTTCTAGTATGGTCAAGACTTAATTAGTATATTTTCAACACTAATAATAAAATTTTCATTTTGAAAGAATGGACAAATGAAGGAATGAAAATCCTCCTTACCCTCATTTCAGCTGAGGACATCAGTGATCGTCTGGGATCTCCTTTTTCTATGGACTGTTTCCTGGGTAATGTTACTCGACGTGGGGTCTGAAATACTCCAGAAGTCTCTATATTTAATTTCACTTTCTCCTCTATGTCTACATTGCCAGAGATTGGAGTCACATTGATCCCTTCTAGTAGGGATTTTTGATCACGTGCTGAAACTGGAGTGCTATGTGATGAACCAATCAGATTTCTCCGTACTAAATCACATGACTGCTTTTTTGCAACTGTTGCAGATGACATTTGACTAAGTCTCATTCTGGATGTCAGAGATTTTCCCAACTGTTGAGAATCCTTTCTGATTGATCTTATCATTGTTTTGGGTGGAGAGGGGCTTATGATGTCTTCTTTTCTCATCATTTTTGTTTTGGGTGGGGAGGGGCTTATGATGTCTTCTTTTCTTATCATTGTTTTGGGTGGAGAGGGGCTTATGATGTTTTCTTTTCTTCTGAATGAGATTGTCTGCTGAGGAGGGGATGGACTGATTATATTCTCATCGTCCGAGTCATGGGATTTAAACACCGAATCTGATTCCCTCTCCTGACAAGGTGGTTGTGTATTTTCTAAACACATACTTGATTCACCATTTTGTTTTACTGGGGAAAAACTATCATCATCAACATGAAATATTTCAGTTGTCTCATTAAAGCTAACTTCTCTTGTAAGAAATCTTTGTTTCGGTGTTGCAGTAATGTTTATGCCTAAATCACCCCCTCTCTGCTGAGCTGGGGTAAGTGTCACTATCTTAGTAAATTCAACTGATTTCCCATTCTCCTGGGAGTCACTGTATTGTTTTCCTTTTTCTAGGGAGTCACTTTTCTGACTTTTCCCAGACTTTTCCTTCATCTTCTGTTGCCTGTATAGTTCTTTCTTCTCTAGCCAAGACCTCACACTAGCCGAGGAAGGAGATTGTTTACAGGGTACCATGGTAACCAATCGGTCACCGAGCACTGAGCACCTGAGGGTGTGGTCTTTTGTGATGGAGTCCATGAGGGTTTGATTGTCTGTCTGTGAGGGTAGAATGCGATCAGTAGTGGCCAGAATTTGTCTGATGGTGGAGAGTCCTTCACAGGCCACTGTGCTCAGGTATTCCATCAACCCTGTCACCTAGAATACAGAAAATGTTCATCTAGCTTCACACAGTCAAAATGCTAATACACATGTACACGTATACTTTTGGTTCATGTGTAATATCATTCCCTGTCAATGTGCATTACTTGAAAATTCATTTTACTAAAACTTTGCCAGATCATATCATTTGATAACAATTTTCAATTGAGTTTAAAGTTATTTTCATTATGTGCACTGTACTTCATATAATTGTAAGAAAGAGTATGAGAGAAAAGTATTAATGAAACCACTCTGACAGATAAAGAAACTTTAAAATTAAGCAATGATTTTTCTTGTGAATTTGGAAAGTTGTTAATCCAATGTCAATCAAGACAGAAAAAGACGAAAAGGAAAAGCAAACTAAAATAAAAAAAATTAACAAACTGTTAGAAAAAAAAATTTACTATATTTACAAGGATCTAATATGGAAAGGAGATGCAAACTAACAGTGCAACTAATGTCCTTGTCTAAGAAAAAACTAATATCTGAGTGATGTGATGTGTGTAAGAAAATGGCTGAATGTGAGGATGACAAAGTCCCAGAAAGAAGTAAATATGCTCACCCTATTGGACTGTAGAGTAAGGAGTCTCCCACCCACCTCCCTACAATACAAAAACTGTAACAGTCTCAGAGGAATTCACTTAATTGCCTTATATCATACCCCTATTTCATTCCTTTCTACTATGGACTCAGTTCAGGTTACATATCAATTTTAAAAGAAACCCCCCAAAAAAAAGAAAAAAAAAAGATTTTTCCTTTAATTTTATTCACATACTGAAATTCTGAAAAAATATTCCCATTTTGACCACCAAATCTTTATTTCTTGTGATAATAAAATTTTATCATACATTTTTATACAGTTGTAGTCAATATTTGCTGAAAAGAAAAAGAGAGATAACTCTTGCTCCCCCCCCCCCCCCCAAAAAAAAAAAAGAAAAAAAAGCATGCTACATTTAATTTTGATTTTTTTTTTTTGACTTAACATTACCTTGGTTTTTCGGGCACATCATCAGCATTACTACAGAAGGCATCCTGGTTGACCACGGTGTGAAGTCCGTACTGCCTGGTGGTCATCTCTACCCTAAGTCTACTGGGAGGGGCTTCCTTGGGTCTCAGAACTCTCCTTTTGGACGGTGACAATGATCGGAACATTTTCTGTCCCTGCCCTTGTGGAGAAGGCTTCCTTTTCCTGGTTATCTTCTCTTGGTTTCTATAGCAACCATCTTGTTGGGTACCTCGGTTAATACTAGAATGATTCTCTGCCTGAGTGTCTCCGTTCCCAGACTTTGGAGGATTTTTCTCATTGGTTCCTTTCCTTGTTCTGTAGTTAACAGTGGATATGATATTTACTGACCCATTGACTACTGGCGTTCTCTCTTCATTTTGATCTGATCCACAGGTTTCCAGGATATCAGGTGTTCCACTTTCTTCTGAATCAATAAACTGGTCATTTCTGACAAGATTTGGTGGACTTTTGGAATCCTCCTTAGAATATTTCCCTGGAATTATAGGAGGGCCCAGATCTGGTGGAGAGAAGCTCTCATTGTCACTAATAATGGGAACATTCTCCTTCCCAGAGCAGATGGTCTTAAAGCAGTACCGCTTTATCTCTCTCTCTGTTAAAGGTTGCAACTTTACAATAGCTTTACGTTTGAAATGTAAAGGTCCAATTTTTGGTCCTCTGGAATTTGGAATTTTATTTGTCACATTGAATACCAGACCTGTTGTTGATTTCTCCGAGATCAAACTTTCTAACTGTTCCTCACTAATGTTGCTCTGTATTTCTGTTTGGAATGAGGATTTCAATGAATTTCTGTCCATTTTTACTTGAATATCTTCCTCTTTTACTTCATCCGTGTCTCTTTTAAGCTCGTCTGCCTTGTTATCTTTTATACAGCCTTTATTTTCTGTTCTTTCAACATTCGTCTGATTGCTTAAGTCTAAATCACTTAAATTCAAAGTGGAGACTTTCTTCATGGGAGATTCATTAACACTCACAAACTGTGACGTCTTGATTGGTGAGTAAACTGGTGATCTGCTCTCCTCATCGGACATCAGAGCCTGATGTAGATCATTAAACACATTTGTTTTCTCTGGTGAGGAGTCAATGTCTCCTAGATCTGTAGGGCTGTAGGGCCTGGGAGGGGACTTTTCTAGTTCCTCAGGTGGTGGGGGTGAATAAAGAGACATGGTATACAAGGCGTCTTCATACTTTGTTCTGTAGTCATCAGTCGAGTCGCAGTAAGATGGAGCCACGTCCATCAGATTAGCTAGGGTCGCCTGATGTAGCACAGACAGACTCGTCATTAGTTTACCAGAGTGAGAGCGAGTCCGCCTCTTCCTGGCCCTGTAACTCGCTCCATTAAAGGCTGTATGAATTTTACGACTCTTGCTCAATTTTTTCTTCTTCTTGACATATTTTGGAGTAGTTTTTACCGGCCTACTGTGCACAGAGTTTTCTTCACAACTCTCTTTACCATCATCCATTTCATCATCATCATCGTCCTCATTGTTTATAAATATCACAGAATCATTAGAAGTCCAGTCACTGTTTATCACAGGCTGTAGATCTAGACCCGGAGATCCATCCTCGTCCTCCGAGCTACTGATCTCGATCACATCATCGTTTGGTCGGCTTCTTCTTAACAGGGACAAGCGGCTTTTTCTCGGCTGAAAATAAGTGGAATCTTTGGATGAATCATCAGAAACTATATTTCCGAAAAATTTTGAGTCTTGCAAGGATTTAAATTTTTCGAAGATATTGTCACAAAACAATTCATGAGCAGCCATCTCTGGCGCTTGAACAGTTTTGTTCTGACTTAATCCATTTTTCTGAAACAGTGAGTTAAGTGAGAAAACTTGAGATAATTTGACTACAGTTCCATTTGATATATTTAACTTTTTTAGCTGAACTGTCATTTTTTTATGACCTTTGAACTTTCCTGTTACTAAGTAATCCACACCTGGTACTTCCTGTTTCCTCTTTCGTTCTCTGCGCCCAATTCGAACCGATTTCCTCGTTTTTTCTTTATCAGACTCACTCAATTTCTTGTTTTTCAGTTGTTCAGCCTTTGTGTGCTTTCTGCAGCTACTATCACTAGAGGACCTTGACCTTGTCATATGACCTTCAAATTGTGAGGTCTTCCTGCTGTTGTCTGGTTCAGGGGGTCTTTTGTTGTCAGACGCAGGGAGCATATTTTCTAGGTCCGAGCTCTTGTTACTTGGGGGACCACTTTCTACACCTGATTCCTCTGAGGGAGATTGGACACATTTTTCATTCGTTTTCCGAGCTGTAGGATTATTCTCTACAGCTAATTCCTGTGAGGGGTATTGGACACATTTCTCATTCGTTTTCCGAGCTGTAGGATTATTCTCTACAGCTAATTCCTGCGAGGCAGATTGGACACATTTCTCATTTGTTTTCTGAGCTGTAGGGTTATTCTCTACAATTGATTCCTGTGAGGGGGATTGGACACATTTCTCATTCGTTTTCTGAGCTGTAGGGTTATTCTCTACAGCTAATTCCTGCGAGGGAGATTGGACCCATTTCTCATTTGTTTTCTGAGCTGTAGGGTTATTCTCTACAGCTAATTCCTGCTGGACACATTTCTCATTTGTTTTCTGAGCTGTAGGGTTATTCCCTACAGTTGATTCCTGTGAGGGAGATTGGACACATTTCTCACTTGTTTCATTATTCTCAACGATAGAAAAATTAAGAATTTCTTTTGATGTATGAGTCTGCCCGTTTTCACTGAAATTGGCTTCATGCGCGTCCACCAAGGATGAATTCTCTGTGTTCCCTACATTTTTCTGTGATAAAGCTGATTGACTTTCATCCTTACTATTACAAGAAAGACCCGGCAGTATTTCTGACTTTTTCTGAGATGTTGATATTTGCTCTGAACTTTTCCTATTATTAGTATTGTTCTCCATTTCTGCCCCTGTTTGGACATTCAGTTGGGAATCTGATGAAGACTGAGATTCTGTTAAATCAATGACGTTAGTTTGTGGTGAAGTGCATTCCTTCACCTGGAATGTTTCCACTTCATTATTTCCATTGTAACCACTCAGTTCTTCTTCCTTCTCTGAATCTTTACAGTTATCTGGATCTTTCTCACAATCCACCTCCTCTCTCTCTGATGTGGAGTTGTCGGTGTCTTCTTCCTTCTCTGAATCTCTACAATTATCTGGACCTTTATGACAATCCACCTCCTCTCTCTCTGATGTGGAGGTGTCTGTGTCTTCGGAGCTGCTCTTAATCCGAGGATCTAGGACATCGGAATCAAACAGTCTGTATGTCTCTCCAGTTGGCTGATGCCTGATGGGACTTCTACCAGTGATCGGTGTCCGGGATTGAACTGGAGTGTTTGAACCATCCGAGGCTTCTGTCAAACTAACATCCTTTAGAACAGGATCGGGTAACTCCTCCTGATCTGGATCTATCACCAGAGGGAGCTTTTTATGAAGTTTTAACAGCTTTTTCTTTCGTGCAGTTTTACTGACAGAGACCTTCAGCTTACTGTGTCCATGTCTATTCTTCCTGTATTTCTCATCTACAGGTACTGGCATGTCAGTGGTCTGCTGGAGGTATTTAAAAAACTGGTCTTGATACATCCCTGTCTTCTGTTTGGCCTGCTCTTCTTTCCCCCCCTGTGTCTGGATGACGTCTGGACTTGGCTGATCCTGATCCTTTCCTACATTCAGTTCCTCCTCCTCGCAGCCTGTGGTCATTGGTTGATACTCCTCCTCGGAGGACAACGAGCTGAAGGCCTTGTCAATGATAGAAGCCAGGGTGATTTTTTGTATCGGTTGGGGCCCATTAGTCTGGTCTTCTATACACCAAAGCTCTGAGAAAGTCCTTTCTCTTTCTGCCACCAATTTTGTTGCTCCTTTTGACTTGGCCACTTCTACTCTCAGTTCTTCATAACTTGGGTATCTTTTACTCTTATCCACAAATGGCACAGTGTTCCTCCTTTGAGAAGGCTTTTTAGGGACCTTAGATTGAATTTTGCTTTCTGTTATGGATTTCACTTTTTCCAATTCCTTGTGTGAAAGCTTTTTCAGTTTAACAACTTCCCTTCCAATTTTCAACAAACTGTATCTACGAGCATCCATAGGATGCATACGAACAACTTTAACTCCTTCCCTGGGTGGACGGTGTTTGAGCTGAATGTAATTAACTTTCTTGTACACAGGAGGTGGAACAGTGAAGGAGTATGTATACTTAGAAGGCTGCACAGGAACAGGAGGGACCGGGATCTTCCGAGGTCTGCCTCGTTTTCTTTTCACAGCCTCAACAACTTTCTGTGGAGCTGGTGTGCTAAAGGATCGCACCAAGGAAGGCCTGTTGACTGACTTCTGCTTAAGTGATTTTGTGAATTCAGTCCTATTGCTACTTGAGCTTGAGGTAGACATTGTTCTTGCTCGAGCTGAAAACTCAGTGTTTGAGACAGATGCACCCCCTGGATTACTGGACATAGACAAAGCTCTGTCTCGACTCACTCCATCTGAGTTTACAACAGGAAGGTTACCTCGGAAACTTGACACTAAAGGCCTATCACTGACTATCATTTCAGCACCAGGTGCAGTAACTTGACTAGAATTATTTGATATGGATCTGCCACTGTTTGAACACTCAACATAGCCTCTGTTTGGACACTCTGCATAAGGCATGGAATGATTACTGATGGTACTGGACAATGATATAGTTCTTTCTCTGCCAGGAGAAACCATGCCAGACATTGGAGGATATCCACCAACACCTGGAGTGGAAATTCTTCTTGGTGGAGTTTCTGTTGCAGACAATGACCTCTTTTTCCTGGATTCTGTTTCCACTTTACTCCTTATGAGTTCAGATACATTTGTGGGTTTTCTGATGGGAATTTCACTCTCAGTAGTCCTCTCTGCTTCGCCCACTGTGTCTGGGGACTCCAATAAACCAATATTCTTTTGAATGTAACTTTGAAGTTCAGCCTCTGAACATGAGTAAGGTTTTCCATCTGTTGCGATCTGACGGACATCGTGTCCAAACTGAGTCTTCTGTGGAACATTTGTCACTAAGTCCTGCAGACTGAAGAGTGAACCAAGGGGATTTAACGCCGTCCTCTGTGGCCATTTATCACTCTCCGGTGTTCTCTCTCTGAATGGAGATAAATAATGTGTTAAGGCAGAACTAGTCATCTGTGGTTGGCCTGCAGTCTGATTCAATGATTGTGAAGATGAATTATAAACACCTTTCACTGGCGGATGAATAAAATTTTTTGTTTCTGGAGGAGAAATTCTGTCAACATCTGTAGGCTGCTGCACTGAACAACTAACAGCAGGTTTCAGAATGTTTGTTTCACCAGGTGAATGGAATGATGATTTTGAGGATGTGTTTTCGGAGGGAATACTTGAAGCCTTAGATCCTGGTTCAGATTTTATGTTGTCGTTTTCATTTGACATTAGGAGTTTCTCCAGGAGATTACCTCCCCCTGGGATGGGGCCCCGGGGCTGGAATGAGGTGGACCTTTGTAACACACTTCCTAGTGAGGTCCCTCCACTGGAAACTGTTGTCACTGTGGCAAAAGTACTCACAGATTTTGGCGAAGATTTTTTAGCAGGCTTTTTCCTTGTGGTGCTGCCTGCTGAGCTGTCCTCTGACTTTTTCTTTGGACCTCTTCGTTTTGGAGTTTTAGGAGGTTTACCCTGGGAAGGATTTATAACTGAGGGGTTGTACCCAACATTAGGATGATTATTATAATGAGTTACAGATTCACTCCAGTTACTACTGTTAAAGCTATTCTGAGAATTGGTAAACTGGCCATTTGATTGAGATCCTGGATATGAATGTGATGAATATGAATTTTGAGAACTCTCACTGCCCTGTACTTTTGGTAAACTCTGAGGAAATGATCCTGTTGGATAATCTGGATGAGATCTTGAAAACGTCATGGAAGATGAACCACTAGAATTACTTGCGTTTTGTTGAACCCCATTTGGAGCCCCACTGTATGTAACACTCCCACCAGACAATGGGTACTGTGTCTGGCTGAGATCACTACTTTCACCCGCTACATGTCTAAGATTACCATGGAGTTTATTGGCACTAGTGGAAACTGCACTCACATTCTTCACAGAAGTGAAATCACTCTGAGCACTGAAATTTCTGTTTGGTAACACACTACTAGGAGAATGTGATACATTTGATGCACTGTTTGGTAGATGGCCACTGGGATTTGATTGTGCAGAGCTATTCATTGGACTAGTTTGTGAATGATATGTTGAATGTGAACTTGAAAAAGTGTGTGGGTCGATCTGCTGAGAGAATCCTCCTTGCTGAGAAAACCCACTGAATTCTGGGTAATTCACTTGGGAGTCCCCTCCCTGAGAATTTTGGAACACTTGGTTGCTAGGTTGACTGTACTGAACTCCCAAAGACTGATTTACACCCTGTACATTCATGTTAACATGGCTATTTGGAGACACCCCCATTGGAGTGGAGGTCATACCCTGCTGGTTTGGAGAGAATTGACTCAGCTGTCCTTGTGAAGAATTCAGGTTATGCCCCCCTGGAGTACTGAAGTTTGGCTGACTCCGAGAGTAAAACATCTGGTCGGTTGATTTTTGTGACAGCTGTCCATTAACACCACTACCCTGAGAAAGTGTACCGTCAGAGTCACTCAATCCTCCAAATTCTGAGAAATTCCACAGATTATTGGATAAAGTTTCGTCATTCATAAGAGCACTAAAAGAATCTCTTGGCTCCATCACGGAAGTCTGAAAGCTCTGTCCTTGACTCATATTCTGAGTATTGAGAGGAGCATTGATATTTGGAGAGAGAGAATTCACACTTCCATTTGATGACTGTGCACTATCCTGGGAATTTCCAAGCTGAAAACCATGTGGAGATTGTAAACTCCCCTGGGAATTTCCTTGATGGAAACCTTGAGGTGATTGTAAACTTCCCTGGGAATTCACTGGCTGAAAACTCTGTGGTGACTGTAAACTTCCTTGAGAATTTCCAAGCCGTAAATTGTGTGGAGATTGTAAATTTTCCCGAGAGTTTCCAGGTTGTAAATTATGTGGTGACTGCAAAGTTCTCTGAGAATTTCCCAGCTGTAAACTATGTGGCGATGGTAAATTCTCCTGGGAATTTCCATGTTGTAAATTATGTGGTGATTGTAAACCATGTGGGGAGGGTAATCCATGCGGTGACTGAATCCCATGTGGAGAATGCACACCACTCTGTGTTGCCTGTATTCCTGGTGAAGTCTGCATGTTGTGAGATGATGTTGGCACTCCCTGTTGTGGCTGACCTTGAGGCGAAGTTAGCCCATGACTTCCCTGTTGTGAGCGACCTTGAGGTGAGGCCGTCCCATAAGCTCCCTGTTGCAGTTGACCTTGAAGTGCGTAACTTTCCTGTTGTTGCTGACCTTGAGATGAGGCCAATCCTTGTCCTTGACTTAATTGATGGTGTGATTGCTGAGTATTCCCATTAGGGGAGTTCATCATGTTCCAGTTCATCTGCTGATCCCAGCCCTGTACTCCATAACCTGGATTACCACTATAAGGAGCCTGTTGATTCCACATATTGTTGTAGTTATAATTCCCATACTCCATGCCATAACCTTGACCTTGGTAGGGGTACTGGTTGCCATTGGAGAACTGATTGTCGTTAGGTCCACACATATTTTGGGTCGGGTTGTTGTAACCAGGAACAAAGGCGGTGTTCTGCTGAGCCTGCCTTTGAGCTGAGGATTTGTCAAACCCTATTACTGGACCTGTAGCTCCTAGTCTCTTCTTCTTACTTTTTTTTGCTGGAGTAAACATAATAATAAAAAAAAAAGATTAACAACAGTACTCTCAAATTATAAAGCTGTTATACATTACTTTACAAAAATCAAGTCAAATATTTTTCATGAACATAATGAGTACAAAAGTTTTATTTTTTATTTATTACATGTATTTTGTACACACAATTCTTCTTCCAGCAGAGATTGAATTTGTCTTTTATTGTCTCCAAGAACAGTGTGCATCTGTGCACAGCTTTGAACAGATTTGTTCACAGATACTAGGGGGTCTGAGTACTTAAACAAGACAATGACAGTTTAGAATAACTTTACCTGTGGGTGGTTTCTCATCATTGGCACCATCATACTGGGGAATCTTTAGATCCTCCTCCTCGTCACTAATGGCAACAGCCTGGGAGTCATTCCATGTCGTGTCAAGTCCTTCCAGGTCAAAGTTTAACTCCTCCCCTTTACTGAATGAAACAATTCAAAAATATTTCCAGATGTTTGTCACATAATTTAAAAACAGGAGCACATTAAAACTCTCCTAATAGAACTAATACTGATGTCTTGCTGCATCACTGTTACCTTTACTTTAATAATTCAGGAGATGTCTCATAACTTGCTTTTTTACCCAAGACTCAGTTATTAAAGACTGATCATGATCAAATAGTAAAAAAGTTAACTACAACAGACTTAGAATATCCCCCTCACCTTTCCTTCCCTTCGTTGCCTTGACTCCCATCCTCCCAGACAATCTGTGACATCTCCAGCGTCTCGGCTTCATCTCTCTCCACTGTCTCGTCGTCGGGGACGACAGGGGCCTCCAGCAGGATACTGTCCTTCTCCTCAAGGATAGTCACCTGACCAGCGGCAGCCTGAGAGGCCGGGGGAGAACTGTCCTCTGCTAGAGAAGCCAGTAAAGCTGCTAAAGATCTATCCTGGGGCTCATCTGTAACCAAACAAGAATAAGTAGAGAAATTATTTGTCATAAACCATGACATACATGTAGCTGATCATTATTTTGAAAACATAGTATACAAAGCTACGTGATTCTGGAAGCACTTGAGATGTTAATAAGCTTTGACACACTATGTGGTTGTGAGTTTATGGGGTGCCTTTACGGGGGTTTCATGGTCAGTTTGAGTGTGTGAATATGTTTGTGTGGGGAAGGAGGGGTTCCTTCCTGATTGCTGTGACAGTGGTGTAGCGGAGAAACTCTGACTCATGGATAGAACTCTCTGTATGGAGTATTTATGTGACTGTTTTTTTAATGTGAGGAGGGGTGGGGTGGTGAAGGAGGGATGGAGGGTTGTTGCCTGCTTGCTGTGAGAGTGGCCTAGCTGAGAAGCTCTTGGGAGTGGGAGGTGGGGGTGTTCCTACCTGATTGCTGTGACAGCGGTGTAGCTGAGAAGCTCTGGCTCATGGACACTACTCTCTGTATGGAGTCCATGTTTACAATGGCTGTTTTCCCTTCGTCCTCCTCCTCTCCCAGTATAATAGTGCTCTGTGATGCCTCAAAGTCATCTGGAACAAGAATAGCACTAACTATACACATCTAAAAGAAGAATCTAAAAGAATATAAGTTTGCTTGGAATTATTGCTTGGAATTTTAAATATGACTGTCTGACATAATGAAATCTCTCCTAGGAAAACAATTCCACACTATAAATTATTATTTCCCTTTGAGTAAGATTATATCTAGATCCTAGTTTTCATGTTTCCCCATTACTTAACCTATTTCATTCCTACCTTCCTGTTGGGAGGAATGGAAGTCCACACTGGAGGCAGATTGAGTGGGAGGAACTTCCTCCTGGGAGGATTCAGACATGGAATCTGGTTGGCTGTCACTATGGAAATACGTAAATGAAAGCATTTTTTATGGCTATTCTTCCAACAATTTTAGGAAACAATCTCACAGGTGAAAAATTGTACACTTGTTTGAAAGAAAACATTTCTAAATCAGATTTGTGCTATCCAGACAGGAGTGAGAAGATCATTAAATCTGTTCAATCCGGTATCTGTATTTCCAGCATAACACAAACAATCTATAAAAGTTACTTTACAAAAAATTATTTGTTTGCTGATAGCATATTTTGATAGTTTTGGGAGCATAATAAATTGTACTTACACATAAGGAAGTTGAGATAGAACAATTTCTCTGAAGCGGTCAGAAAGAGCCTGGTCACTTTCACTGATCTCCACTGACCCACGATCTGTAAAACATATCACACACAATGAGAAATAATATCAAAAGAATTTATCATACAAATCTATTCAATACAGAAAAATTGTCCTTCACAAAGCATTTAAGAAGAAAGAAAAATGTTTGATCAGTTTTAATATGTGACAATCAAACTAAAATCCCATTTACAACAATGAGACATCAATTTGTATTAAACCTGTGACCTTGTATTTAACCACTGACCTACCCTACAACACTCATCCTGTGAACCTGTGTTTTTTCCTGTGAGGTATGAGGAGTAATATGGGAGACTGACTCTTGTTTTGTCACCTAGAGACATCACAATTAGCTCCTTAATTATCCATGTAATTCATGTCATTAGCCTGTGACATTGACCCTGTATTTAACCTTTGAGACTTGCCTTATGAGGCTGTATTTAACCTTTTGACACTTACCCTTTGAGGCTGTATTTAACCTTTGACACTTACCCTGTGACCCTGTATTTAACCTTTGACACTTACCCTTTGAGGCTGTATTTAACCTTTGACACTTACCCTGTGAAGCAGGGGGAGTAATCTGGGATGACTGACCCTGGTTCCGTTTCCTCTGTCTTTCATCTTCCCACAGAGCAGCGAGGCCAGGATTGTTTCCAACATTAGCTAAAATGTAGAAAGGATTTAGGTAGAAAATATAAAGGGAGATAATCGTATTCTGTGTGTACAGTCACAGACCATCAAGGCCAGGTGCCTAAAGATGATGGAAAAAATAAAGGGAGATAATCGTATTCTGTGTATACAGTTAAACAAGGTAACAGTTCACTACCAGGGAAAACCAAGACTGCTTTTTTTTAAAGCTGTGATTTGTCACAAAATATGGCCTTGTTATACAGTATGATGGATATCATTCAAGAGGACTAGTAATTTGTGAGATAAATATCCCTCCCTCTCCCATCAAACATTTACGGCTACTTGTACTTGTAATTACCATTAATATCCTGTCTTTTGTGAGAAAAGATCAATGATACACACATTTGATTATGAGAGGATAGAAAATTCATGTTCTTTGTTATTATTGAGGGGATAGATTATTCATGTTCTTTGTTATTATTGAGAGGATAGATTATTCATGTTATTATTCATGTCATTATGAGAGGATTAGATATACATGGAATTTCTAGAGGCTTTATTTACCATCCACTTCCAGTCTATTAATGATGTCAGCTGCCACCACGTCTACCTCAAGTTCACATGTACTCTGTCTGACGACCTCATTCCCCAAGTATAGGTCACTGAAATAGTGAAAACTATAGACTCAGCAAGTTACAATACATGTGTATACAACAAATTACATGTGTATACAACAAATTACATGTGTATACAACAAGTTACAATACATGTGTATACAACAAGTTACAATACATGTGTATACAACAAGTTACAATACATGCGTATACAACAAGTTACAATACATGTGTATACAGCAAGTTACAATACATGTGTATATAACAAGTTACAATACATGTGTAAACAACAAGTTACAATACATATGTATACAACAAGTTACAATACATATGTATACAACATGATAATATCATTTTTGCAACAAGAAATATTTAAATGGTCTTCTACCAATATTTACAGCTAGATAAACTAAACAGGATATAATTACACTTGTATGTAACCTTTCCTTTTACAGGACAAAATCAAATGGAAGTTTGCAATGCCACAAGGTTATGACCTTTTCTTCAGAGCTTTGATTGGTTGCTTTTGTTTACCTTGTGATTGTGTCCTGGTTCCAGATTGGCTGGGACTGCAAGGAGGCATTAGTGAGCCAGTCCTGGAGCGATACATTAGGTGATGTAGGGGAGGACATGTCAGACCGACGGTTCTCAACACAAACTTCAGGATTTGCATTTTCTGTAAAGATTTGTATATACCATAAATTGCACAAAAAAAGATTCTCAATTCATTGGCAATTCCAGAACAATCGAAAACCCCCCCCCCACATATTTTCAGAGGTGCTGATGAAAGAATGATGTCATATAAAAAGGCTTGTTAAATGTGAATGCTACATTTGCCTGTATGTAACAAAAAATTACTTGAAATTTAGTAATAAAACTGTTTGGGTAAGGTGTCACTATGCTATAGACCCAGTGTTGTCTTTTGCAGTGTATGTTGTCCTTGTGCTGATGTTGTTTTTTGCAGTGATTGTTGTCTTTATTGTAATTTTATATTGATGTTTTTTGCAGTGTTTGTTGTCCTTGCTGTAATTTTGTACTGATGTTGTTTTTTGCAGTGTTTGTTGTCCTTACAGTAATTTTGTACTGATGTTGTTTTTTGCAGTGTTTGTTGTCCTTGTACTGATGTTGTTTTTTGCAGTGTTTGTTGTCCTTACTGTAATTTTGTATTGATGTTGTTTTTGCAGTGTTTGTTGTCCTTACTGTAATTTTGTATTGATGTTGTTTTTGCAGTGTTTGTTGTCCTTGCTGTAATTTTGTATTGATGTTGTTTTTTGCAGTGTTTGTTGTCCTTACTGTAATTTTGTATTGATGTTGTTTTTGCAGTGTTTGTTGTCCTTGCTGTAATTTTGTATTGATGTTGTTTTTTGCAGTGTTTGTTGTCCTTGCTGTAATTTTGTATTGATGTTGTTTTTTGCAGTGTTTGTTGTCCTTACTGTAATTTTGTATTGATGTTGTTTTTGCAGTGTTTGTTGTCCTTACTGTAATTTTGTATTGATGTTGTTTTTGCAGTGTTTGTTGTCCTCACTGTAATTTTGTATTGATGTTGTTTTTGCAGTGTTTGTTGTCCTTGCTGTAATTTTGTATTGATGTTGTTTTTTGCAGTGACTGTTGTCCTTATTGTAATTTTGTACTGATGTTGTTTTTGCAGTGATTGTTGTCCTTATTGTAATTTTGTACTGATGTTGTTTTTTTGCAGTGTTTGTTGTCCTTACTGTAATTTTGTATTGATGTTGTTTTTGCAGTGTTTGTTGTCCTTACTGTAATTTTGTATTGATGTTGTTTTTGCAGTGTTTGTTGTCCTTACTGTAATTTTGTATTGATGTTGTTTTTTGCAGTGTTTGTTGTCCTTACTGTAATTTTGTATTGATGTTTTTTGCAGTGTTTGTTGTCCTTGCTGTAATTTTGTACTGATGTTGTTTTTTGCAGTGTTTGTTGTCCTTACAGTAATTTTGTACTGATGTTGTTTTTTGCAGTGTTTGTTGTCCTTGTACTGATGTTGTTTTTTGCAGTGTTTGTTGTCCTTACTGTAATTTTGTATTGATGTTGTTTTTGCAGTGTTTGTTGTCCTTACTGTAATTTTGTATTGATGTTGTTTTTTGCAGTGTTTGTTGTCCTTCTGTAATTTTGTATTGATGTTTTTTGCAGTGTTTGTTGTCCTTGCTGTAATTTTGTACTGATGTTGTTTTTTGCAGTGTTTGTTGTCCTTACAGTAATTTTGTACTGATGTTGTTTTTTGCAGTGTTTGTTGTCCTTGTACTGATGTTGTTTTTTGCAGTGTTTGTTGTCCTTACTGTAATTTTGTATTGATGTTGTTTTTGCAGTGTTTGTTGTCCTTACTGTAATTTTGTATTGATGTTGTTTTTGCAGTGGTTGTTGTCCTTACTGTAATTTTGTATTGATGTTGTTTTTTGCAGTGTTTGTTGTCTTTACTGTAATTGATGTATAACAGATACTGACCATCCTGGTTCCTTCTCCTGAATTTGATGGCCGCCACATTCAGCATGTTCATTCCATAAAGATTGTAGTCAATAAACATCTGCAAAGGACAGAGACATGTCAAGTACTCACTCACTAATAAAGCTTCATATACAAACTTTAGTATGACCTGACTGCATCTATTAACTCACTGATACTGTGACATGTCAGTTTGACCTGACTGCATCTAATAACCTACAGGCAGCAATTTATGAATGAAAGTAGTTTACCCTATCATAGCAGCCAATACCCTGGAGCTTATTGAAGTACACAACATACATCAAGTGTACAGGGTATACTTACTTGTAATGTGTAAGGTATATGTGACTCGTGGGGTTGAAATCCTTTGTTTAACACAGCTCCCCCTAGTAATAAATCTGCAGCCCTGAAATAAAACATATGACATTCACTGACCAATTCTTCAGCATCTCAATATACACAAATACAGCAGTATGAGATCATGTGTGACAATGTCTCAAAAAATTTAATTTAAAAAAAAAAGCACCCTTAAAGGCTAACAGATTATTATCTTTAAATTACTTGATTATATCCCAGTGACACAGAAATGAAAGTTTATACTACATGTATATTTGCTTTCTTTTATCATTGTTTCACTTATTTTTCATTTAGACACATGAAAATGAAATAAACTAGTGCATTAATTTTCTTTATTGCCATGATTCATCAGATTAAGCCCCGCCCCTTCTTTCTACACGGGTACCACAAACAATTAAACAACCTCTGATAACAGATTAAACTGTGTTACAGGATTATCTATGGCCTAATCTCTCTTACACAATAATTCCTCGGTAGTTCATTAAGTTACACAGGTATAATGCTCAGTGATAACTTATACCCCATCACTTCTACATACCTTGACCTACTTCTGACTTCTGTCTACAGGTACACACATGGATAACTTACATCATTACACCTTTACACTGGTTACCTACTGCTCTTCACAGACTTAAAAGTCAGCAATAATAAAACTCAAAAGTTTTATTTAGACATTTTTTTTTTTGAATTTTTGGGCAGATCATTTAGAATGTTTGTGTTATTATCATGTGATTACCGGTACATAATTCAAGTTATATAAATATCTAATATTTTTTTAAAAAAAAAAAAAAAAAGGTTTTCTTTTGTTTGCAGACATTTGAATGATTTAATGATATCCTTTGCTACAGTTCTAACATCTGCACAAAAAAGTAAGTTATTTTTGTCTGAGAGATCATGAGGTTGGGTAATTATTACAGAGTATCCAATCAATCTATTTCCCGTGACGTGGAAAACAATACCTTGGGCAATGGAAAACAAGCTCTTTTTCATCCTTCACAGAATTCATCAAAAATTTTACGGAATTCTTTGGCTTAACTGTATGTAATAATAACTCTGTTTCTATCACACTACACGGTCCTGGTTTGACCGAAAGTCTTCAGTCCTTCATTAATTTAAACAACTTATGATCGGGAGTCTAATTACCGTAAATCTATTGTGAACAAAGCTACAATGCAATACTTTGACCTATAATTATAAAGAATGGACAGGAACTGTCAAAACGCCAAGTACTCTTCAGAAAACATCCATGAGTCCAACTTAACAGCTCAGAGTTAAGACACATAAGAATGGATTGGGAAAGATGTGACTAGAGACTAATGCCTGGTTGACTTTCTCATTACTAGACTTCTCCTGGGGGGGGGGGGGGGGGGATGGGGGGCTATGTAGTCTATGTAACATACCTCCTAATGATGTTGGGGTTGTAGAAGTAAATCTTCAGAAACTGTTGTTCTCTTTCATGATACCCGTACATAGGGCTGTAAACAGAAACAAAAATTTATATGTGGAAGAAAAGAAACAGAGTAACATTTTCCAAATAAATATTTCCAATTCATTTTTTTTGCCTCATACATTTAGAGTATGTTTTGTGTTGTGTATGAATAACCTCAATGTAATAGGCAATGAAATTCTTTTAATAAAAAAATACATAACTGTCATGTAATACAAATAATTTTCATGACTGAAATACCAAAATTCTGTTTATCATAAACTTGTGAATCTAAATGTTAATTTTACAAGTAGAATCAGAGAAGCCTTACATTCCAGACACTAGAGTGATTTTGTACACGTGTTGTATTTCTGAGGATGCGTTGCCCTGGGCTACGTTAATGGCTTTATCTAAACTGTTGGCAAACAGTCGTAAGTATCGGTCCCACGGCTGCGTCCCATCATAAGGCACATACAGGTATGGAAACACTCCGTGTACATGCATGCATGTCTTCTGACCTAAAAATAGTATACCATTGTCCTTGACCACTTATGTGACAACAATAATTTTGCAAAGCTCTGATAGAAATGTCTAATCCAAGAAAAAGCTATTACTTGTAAAAACATAACATTTACTTAAGTACTAAAATTAAACACATCTGTACAGATTTATCAAAATAAAAAGAACTTAAATCAATGTTCAGATTCATTCATTTACCCTGGGGCATTCAGACCAATTCACAATATGCTTATTTTGGAGGGACATTTATTTTGTGGTGTTACAATTCCCAGAATTCAGTGATGGACACAAAGGTATCAGTATATATTTAGCATTTGTAGTACAAGGCCAGTGAACTTGATGGCCATGAACCCCAGTATTTTACTGGGCCCTGATTGAGCATACCTTGAGCTGTTGACCCATACACTCTAATCACAGGAACTTTCTTGACAACAGAGGCCCTGAAGTCAGTATACTGGACATCAAGTCCTGGTATGGGGGACCCTTGGTAGTGATCTGTCGTTACAATTCGTATCGAGAACATTCTGGGTTAGTTCTCCTTCACTCCTCAAGATTCATCTTCTGTGGAAAAAAATAAAAAATTCATTCAATAAAATTATCTATTATAACAAACAATATACCAATGAAAATATAACACTGTCCTCAGAATAATTATATCCCTCCCCCCCCCCCCCTACACACACACAAAATATTCAACAAAAGAAGATGACTAAGACATGCTACTATCATTTTAATCATGCACAGGCAGATTTACAAGACAAAAGATGACTCAAAAGCAGAGATGTTGACATGTCACCCTTGCTCATAAAATCAATACATCTGTTTATGAGTCTCTATATACCTAACAACAGCTTTGTTCATGGAACATGATCCCCATAACGAGGATAAGCCAATAGATATTTGTTATACAACTACTATAGGAACAAAAAAACCCAATGGGTCAATATCAATATATATCAGTGATTAGTGTTTGATGTCGTATCATTATCATGTGACAAGACACCTGGGGTAGACTAGGAACACCTGTCACTTCTCTTTTGTTTTAATCTGAAACTCTACAGCGAGTAAAAGGTAACCTGACCCAGCATCCTGACCACTAGTGAGAGACCGAGACAGAAGACATATTCTGTCAGATCTACAGAGTTGGAAGAGAGACATACCGTCTCCTTAATCAATATCAGTCAGCTCCCAGATGATGTGAATGACAGGACTTCTTACCAGAAACTGAACCAGCCCTCACCAACAGATATGACTACAAATACAATTTATTATGCACTTTTAAAAGAACTATACAATATTTTGGCACCGCTAAGACACTCTAGTCTTATAGGACTGTTCAGAAATTGACAGGAAGCCTCTTCAGAGTGGGGAGTGAGGATGGATTCTGGCACTGCATTCCCGGGGAGGAAGGAAAGAGCATGACACTGCTTTCTTTATCTGGTGAAATGCATGCTTCAAGAGTTTACCAAAAAAAAAAAAAAAATCCCTGAATAATTAAAAAAAAAAAAAAATAATAAGTGCATGTAATACCTTCAGAACAGCTGGTGTGATATTATCAGCAATTGTGTTTTTAGTATACCCAGTATAAGACAGAGAATATATCATTAGATATGTTAGAGATAACTGGAGGGGGGACCTCCCATATTTTCAAGGTTTTCAATATTCTTCCCACACTGTAAAATCCTATATGTCATGTAGTTTAGAAATCTATCTATTTCTACCTGGAAAACATTTTTTTTTACATGCATTTGCAACAACTTAATTTTTTTTGGTTTCCTGTAAAAAGAATTTCTGAGGCTACTATTTCAGGTTGCTGTAAAATTGAAACAGCTGGCAAAGTATTTTAGATGTACAGGACACCATGAAAAATGAAGTGGATGATGATGATGATGATTGTCACAGATTTAGAGAGTAACCTCTTCCACTCAGAGACCAGCTAGGCTATAAATAGATCTGTTTGTTACTGATCCTCTCTAAAAGGGAATCCCCCCCAACACACACTATCTGACAGAGTATTTTGATGGGCCTATATATTTAACTTGAGTATTCAACCTTTCTTTCATGATAATTTTTTTGGGTTGCATTAAACTACCAGACCACCCGCCAAACAACACAGCAGACTCAAACTAACCAGGACAGATAAAATCTTGATACAGATTTATCTACCATTAGAATGTACATTATACATAACAATCCTTATCAAAAACCATATCTCTACTTACTAAGTTAAAAGTCTTGAATTATATACAGTTTAATATTATACATGTACTAATACACTGTATATGAATGAATAAATCTTGACATATCTTCCAGTATTTTATAAGCTTTGTATGATCCTGCCAGACCTTATTTCTGAGACCGTACTGGACCAGCTAGTACACAAACAAAATCTCAAGTAGCTGCTCTGTGTGCATATATAAATTATACATCAGTGTCTTTATTCTATGATCATTGCTATGTGGTTAATGTGAAGAGAAGTGGTGCATGAAGTATACACAGGGGTTGAAAGGTCAGACAAGCAGTCAGCCATAGCAGAATGATTGTGGTTATATAAATCTATACCCCACCATAACAATTACTTAACAGCGTACTACTGATAAATGCTTATAAATATTTAATCTGAAGTCATAAATACCTGTACTGTACGTAACAATGGGGAATCAATCTAGAGCACCCAGAGAGATTACAGTACTAGACAGTTTTACTATGAAGAATTCTACAGAACAAGACTTATGATCAGAATTATATTATTATAAATAAAGTGCATAAAAATAGATTTCAATCCCACTAATTACACCACACCACTAAATGGGAACAAACCAGATCCACCACTGGTCAGGAGGGAAATAACTGAAGCAATGTTCCTGCTTTGACAGTAGTCATTAAATGTCCCCACCTAATTACCTGATGGACAGGCATAAAATCAGCCATATTAAATATTTAACTTCCCATAATTCTTGTAGCGGTTTTAAAGTTATGGTTGTGGTGCCCTAGTGATGGATAAGTGGTAACAATATACCGGAAAATCAGATCACTCTAAAATAAGGAAATTTCAATACCAGTAAAGTGGGTGGGTTTACAAGTAGAATTAATGAATAGAATATATATTTCAAAAACAAACAAAATACTTTACATGAGGATGCTATTCCTATGGGGAAAGGCTGAGACTAATCAATGACACATGAGTCTGGTACTGGTGGAGATTAGCTATACATGTATATTGTTTGCTCCCTAAGAGCACCACATGGATATACTTCACAAGAGCAGAATCTAATACCTTTTCCTTCTTTGTATCAAGCTGGCCTGACCTTGACCTTTTAATAATGAAGACTCATTTTCCTGTGGATATAAATAGACTGACTGAATGAGAGGATGATCAATACTTTCTCTCTGTTTGATTCCTACACAGTACGACAGGGACCTCTCTCTCCCTCATACCAATTTCAACATAATTATTATACAGAATACTTTCTACTGTAACTAATCCCATCCAAACTCTCTTAATTATCTTCATTAAAGTCTTTAACCAATCCAAACCGAATACTTTCTCTTTGTAATAAATCCCTATGCACAACTCAATAATGCTCAGAGTCAACTCAAAAATCATTTTTTCATTATCCTACAGTTCATTTTTCCTAAACTTTTCACCAATTCCTGCAACATTTTGGTGACATTTTCTGACTGACAATCAAACACTGGAGTAACCTCCGTTTAATTTCTAGTCGACAATAGTCACTGTACATGAACATACATACTAGACAACTTCAAGCCAAAAGCATATAAGCATCATGATTTTTTCCATCTTTCATTTCAAGGTGCTGAACATTACTATCATGGTAAAAGATCAAGAAGATATCAATATTAATGGACCACAGAAATCAATCATTCCAGAGGGGATCAGCAGAACACAGGTGAATAATCAAGGAAATGTTTGCTGCAAGGCTCCTGATTCTCACTCTGTCATCATTGAGGACCATGGGGCTTCCTCTCATTCTGTCAGGCACAGCACCATGTGGCTTCCTCTCAATCTGTCAAGCACAGAACCACGTGGCTTCCTCTCATTCTGTCAGGCACAGCACCATGTGGCTTCCTCTCATTCTGTCAGGCACAGAACCACGTGGCTTCCTCTCATTCTGTCAGGCACAGCACCATGTGGCTTCCTCTCATTCTGTCAGGCACAGCACCATGTGGCTTCCTCTCATTCTGTCAGGCACAGCACCATGTGGCTTCCTCTCATTCTGTCAGACACAGCACCATGTTCTTCTGATCCTCACTCTGTCATCAATGAGGACCACGTGGCTTCCTCTCACTCTGTCATCAATGAGGACCACGTGGCTTCCTCTCACTCTGTCATCAATGAGGACCACGTGGCTTCCTCTCACTCTGTCATCAATGAGGACCACGTGGCTTCCTCTCACTCTGTCATCAATGAGGACCATCAGAGATTTTTTTACCCTTTGATTCCAGGGGCCGGGGCCCTCAAGATTGGGAAAAATAGCGATATTTGGTTGAAATTGGGAAAAATATCTTCATACAAATAAATAGGAAAAAAGAAGCAAAAGTCAAATATTTAATCATTTTTCTTATTTTTTATAGTATGAAGCTGGCTTAAACCAGCTTTAGTGATATGAAATAATACTAGCTGCTGTTGAAGTTCAGAAGCTTAAAAATGGCAAAGCCGCAGGGTATGATAACATTGTAAATGAACATATTTATACGTTGTCATCTTTTTTACCTTTCTGTAAGAAGTTCTTTAAGATAAAATCTGAGAGTGGGTTTGTTCCAGATGATGGGTTAATCGGTATTGTTTGACCAATTTATAAGAATAAGAGCGATTCAACCCAGCCTGCCTAAAAATTACCGTACTAGGCAAACTGGAGAGTGATCCACGATTATTTATTAAATAACGATCCCGACTTTAATTTTTAAACATCGATCCCGCTTTAAAAAGTACGCATACAAACATCCGTAGTACTCCGAATAACTTCTCAGAACTCCTCGGATGGCTCGTACATCGCACATGGAGAACATAAACACCTTTTTGTCATTATTTTATTTTAATAATTTACAACTTAATACTTTTTTTTCATATTGGGAATTTTTAGGTATAATTTTGGGAAAAACATACACTTTTCAGCATTGGGAATGGGGCCGAATTTCGGCCCCGGAGAGACCCTAAAAAAATCCCTGACCAAGTGGCTTCCTCTCACTCTGTCAGACACAGCACCACGTGGCTTCTGATCCTCACTCTGTCATCACTGAGGACCATGTGGCTTCCTCTCACACTGTCAGGCACAGCATCACATGGCTTCCTCTCACACTGTCAGGTACAGCACCACGTGGCTTCCTCTCACACTGTCAGGCACAGCACCACGTGGCTTCTGATTCTCACACTGTCAGGCACAGCACCACGTGGCTTCTGATTCTCACTCTGTCATCACTGATGACCATGCGGCTTCCTCTCACTGTTAGGCACAGCACCACGTGGCTTCTGATCCTCACTCTGTCAGGCACAGCACCATGTGGCTTCTGATCCTCACTCTGTCAGGCACAGCACCATGTGGCTTCCTCTCACTCTGTCAGGCACAGCACCACCAAGCTTCTTACTCAGTCCAATCTCTTTGTCAAAGGACTCCATTTTATATAGAGGGACACACCCACAGCCCCCCTTTCTGCCTCCCCTTTATTTACTCTGTAGAATCTTCATTTTTCCTGCTCTACAGAACAGATAGTATTTAATCTAATCCTCCCAAGTCACTAGAGAATCCATTCAGCTGTGGTTTATAATTAGAGGTGAAATCTGATTCCGTTCAGGTGAATTCCTTCATGTCCTGTGGTTAAGACTATCCAACTTTTCACTTCAATTTTTATACAAATCAAAAAGAAACCTCAAACTGATCCAATAAAACCTCTACCTGGCCTTACAAGTCACCTTTTATTACACACGTATTCATTATGCCCTTGCTATGCTTTGACACCTTCATGTGTGGTACTCATCTTAAGGCAAAGACTAATGAAATAAAGACACGATTTACTTACCACACAGTCTGTGTCCAACTGCTGATTCTGTGTAACCTAGTCAACACACACCTAAAACACAGAAAACACAAGATGACTTTGTGAAACACGAAGCATCATTCTGTCAAAATAGGAAAATATTTGACTTTGTTAACAATTTCCAAATGACACAAATTCAGAGTCAAGGTACATCACATCTTATTGCCAAGTATGAGCTTCTGATGTCTCTTTATTGAAGAGTTCTGGAATAGATTTAATCCAGATGACCTTGGGAAGGGAATGGACACATCCCCTGATCACAACCTACTGTCATCATTGAGATTCTGAATTTCTTAAAGATCGAGTAATGACCCAGAATGTCACACTCTGAATCTATACAAACTTGACCTTATGGCATTAGTTTAGAGTCATTACAAACCTTCTGGACATACATGTAAGCTAAACTCTGCTAAACATGCTAAATAAGTCTCTATTTTACTCTAACAAAACATGGAAGTTTTGAGCAAACTTAAGGTTACAAGGAAAGACAGACAGATCCAAAACATATATAAATTCTTTAGCAATTTTAGTCAAACAAAAATAGGGACTGTATTAACTGACCCTGACCTGAGCTTTATCCAGCAACAATTAACTTTAGTGAAAGGTGCTCGGACAACAGATTACAGTGATGCATTGTTTTACTATAGGAAGGAAGACAACTTACATGTATGGTAAAATGTATTGACACTAACAACAGTAAATAAATATGCAGTTTATGTTGTCACATCTGCCCCCCCCCCCCCCTTCTTCCTCAAATGACAAATCACTTTCCATTCCCTGACTGATCTATTCAGTAACAAGTCCTTTGTCTCCCCCCTCCCCCCTCCCAACTCTCCCCACCTCCTCCTCCTTTCCCAAATCCTCTAAAAATGAAGTCCATTTCCCCTTCAGGAATTTTCTATCATTCATTAAACAATCCTATCACTCAAGGACACAAGCTGTACATCAGTTTCATTCATTGGAGACAACAGTTTGTGAACAGAAGTAAAAATCAATGCTACAGATTTACTAACACCATTAATGTAGGCTGATAATGGCTTTTATATGTCATAAAAATATGTGTCATGTAGCACACACACACACACACAAAATACTATCTCATCTTATACATTCACACATTTCAATTGATTTAAAATGTATAGCATTCCAGTTCATCTCCACAAGTAGTAGATCAAATTTACATCATACTTTTTTCCGAATGTATGCTTAGGTGCCTGAAAATATGTGAATGTGCTTTCAGAATTCAACTCTTCATCCAAAAAAAAAAAAAAAAAAAAAAAAAAAAAAGATAAATATATGCTCCCATTTCTAACAGAAAGTAGTCTGTTAGCTTCACAACAACAAACAAGCTGTTTTCTATACAGCAGTGCATGTTTACATTACACCCTGCAGATAATCAACAAAAACGACAAGTCAATTATACCTCATACAACATGGTCATAACTGATGCAGTGTTACAGCACTTGAACAAGGAAAAGAACTAAACTGAAAACACTCGTGTTCATAAACTAGAAATAGGGCCTTTCTGTAGCAGACACTAGTCCATTAACACAAATCACTTCTTCCCCCGCAACTAAACACGGATCCTGAACACAGATCCTGATCGATCAATATGGTGCTGGATTCCGAATTTCAGAAGGAAAGTATTCCCTAGAGAACTCCCAGAAAAGCAAGAGAGAGAGAGAATCAACTCACAGAACACAGCTGATCAGGAACAACAAATCCATGCATCAGAGAAATAAAGTTTCTAGATCCGCACATCAACAAAGCTGAATGATCTAGAACCTGCATACACAAAACGTTATGTTTAATTAATAATGGATGAGTGTATCTTCATAGTTCACAGCTGAGGAATTAAAAAATGTGTAAAAATTCCTCCAGGTATATCTGCAGACTACACGATAGGAAGCAACTGAGCCAATTGAGCATGTGTGCCGTGTGGATTGTAAACACTTGATCGACACACACCAAAAATCCCTCTGTTACAAGAATTCTCCAAGCTAGAGCTCCAACATTACCAGGAGAATTTTTTTTTTACCTCCAAGTTCTGCTTTCCACAGAGATGTGTACAGAAGCTCTGTCACAGCGCTTATTGTCATTGATCTCTACACTACAGGCAAAGGGTCAATTAAAACAGGGGAACACGAGATGGTAGTTGTCTATCATTAATATTAGCATTCTTAATTACTGACATTTTTAAGCCCCGAGGAAGTTAAGGTGGTTGTTCACAAAAAAAATACAAACAGACACTAAATCATAGGCTGTCATGCTTTCACAGCAAGTTGTGAAGTGTTTGTAAATCAAGCAACCTGAACGTCCAAAGCACCTACTTTATAATGGTGGAGATAATCTTACTGGGTTAACAGGGAGATTTCTATCCTCTCTGGACTTCAGTCTATACAACCCTGACTTGTAACCAATAATGAAACATCCTTCTCATGGTAAAATTAACTCAGTGTACTTAGTATTCAGAGCATCCTCTAAAGCAATGTCAGAAATTATTTTTCAGCAATTTCCCTACACATTAATTATGTATGTACATCTACAGGTATACAGGAACATGTTTTAATTTTATACCCCTCGAAGGGCCTCCTGGTTTTTCTATCAACATTAGCCACATGGGCAATTCCCAAACAGTACACAGTCTAATCTTAGAAACCCTGCAATGCCTGATCCCTGAACATGTGATTAAGAATAACTGCCATATGCTACCATCACCTACTATCTAAAAAACCCTAAACTTGTTAAATCAACTTCCTTCATGCACCAATGTGTCAAAAATACCATTCAAATGATCATTTACAATGCTCATGAGCCATAAATAAGGAGATTCTGTCAGATTCTCTTGTCAATTTAAAAGGCTCCCATTGCCGGCTGACAAAGAGGCTACCTGTAGCACATACTGTGGGGGTATAGGTTTAACTGTACAGTATTTATCTAGGCCAACTTGACATACAAAACAAAAAAAGGTCAGACTGCAAACACACATAAAATATTCACCCATCATAAATCTTTATTTCCCTTCTAATTATAAAACACTTATCTGAAAACAAGAATCTTTGACCTACCAGTCCTATAGCACATGGAATCCATTCTCCATAGCGATAAAAAATCAGAGAACCTGGTACGATTTGACCCAACACTGAAAGCTGAGTAGATCAAGCACTTGTACAGAGGACAATGTCTCTGGTCAAACTTTACACTGAAGAATCACCTAGCCATGTGCTCTCCCACGCTCTACAGGCCATGCAGTATGATAAAATAGCTGTGTCCACTCCGTAGTAAACACATAGATATGTTACCTTGCTACACTTGCTATCCAAAGGCACACAGGACATACACAATGTTATCAAACACTATAAGTACAGTACTAGTCTGTGTAACAATAAGCACTAGTGTTAAGAGAGGATTTAAACATTCATGTGATTGTTTACAAAACTTCAAGCATTCTCCCCTCATTCAGTGAGCACTCAATATTTAAACTGGTCTGTACTCCATTACCATTAAACTAAAATTATCTTTGAATTTCTGCACAGAAAAACAGCTTCCACCAACTGCAGCTTAACTCTTTAATATATGCCTATAAGCTTTAAAAGAAAGTCAACTTTGGTTCCAAGGACAATCTACTCAATTTTTTTTTTATTTTTACTGATCGACTTAAATTATTTTTACCACAGTAAAAATTACAGTGAGTAGAATGGCAGACCATAGTTGAGAGCCCTCCATTTTATGATATACATTAGATATCAAAATACAACTTTAAATTGGAACTTAACATATTTTCATGAAGGGATGGAATTTATTCACTGCTGGCTCAGTGTGTATAGTATCAGCCCGTACCTGTGATCAGGTGAAAACATGATACGCCATGCAATGACAATTCACCCTTAAAAACATCACAGAAGATACTGCTTACAAATTGATAGTTCCCGTGTACGACCAAGATCTTTATATGACAAGGGACAAAGCTGTTTGCAAAAAGTGTTAGAATAAAAAAAGATTAAATAAATAAATAAAACTATTGAAATAGCACTTTATTACCTTATAGCATGGACAAGTTTTTAAAAGTAAGAGAAATGATGAACTAGAGATGACACAAGTCATAGTGCATCCAATACCAAGAGAAATAATGTGAAATATTTATCCCCCGGTCTCCCAAAAATTTTGCATTCCAATTGGACTGAAAACCTTATAAAATCTTGATGCCAAAGTTGCTCAGAAATAACCCAAAGTTCCTTGAAATAGACATGGATTTGTTATGTAGAAATAATTTATAACTTTTAGGGCCTGACAAATAGATTTTCAAGCACTTGCCCATGGGTAAGTGCACATAATGGTCAAAATTCACTTGCCCTACCTTATTTTATTTTACTCGTCCCACCATAAAGTTAACTATAAATTACAAAATGTAGGTAGACAAAACATCATGACAAGTTCTCATGTCCAGTTGTAAAACTAAGACTTTTTTCATGAAGAAAGTCACTTGCCCATGGTTAATAAAAATTCACTTCCCCACCCCTAAACGCAGTAAAATTCACTAGGCCCTGGCTTTGCACATTGGTATTTGTCAACCCCCTGACTTTAATAGAACTCATTCTGAAACCTTGTGAATAATAACATTCTCAGAGATCTTCAGATGACCTGGTTCGTAAAGGAAGACCCCACAGGACTATCTATCTACATTACTTGTTACCCAGTATATTTTCATGTGGCTCAGGTTTCCAGTCAGGAGAAAATATGCTGCACAATAGTAAGAAATACACTACAAAGACCTAAAGCATCTGATTCAAAAAAAGACAGAGATATCCTTCAGAAAGAAATTGATTTCTACATCATCTTAACTTCTTCCATGTGAAATGCACTATTATAAACTGGTCCAACCCAAGACAAAGTCGGTAGAAAATTCTCATTGTATATACAGCTGATACATCTTGTAAATTGATAAAGAATTTGTTCTCTTTATCGGATGTTTAAGCCCCCATCCCCACCGGCACCCCCTCTATTCTGAATCAACAGAATTTACATGACCATATCA